CTTTTGGTGCCTCTTGGCCAGGACTCCCTTTAAAATGAGTTTTTAATCTCAATGTGACCATTCTGGTTAAATAAAGAATAAATAAAAAAAAACATGAATTGTACTGAGGAAAGGATCTGTTCTGCTGGTCCGTTAACAGCTACAGCTACAACTAAACCTTGTAAAAACAATCAAATAATGCTTTTATTTTGGAAAGAAATCACAAAGATCCCTTTAAGGGTGGCTTTACCGATTTGTTTCTGAAGCATTTCTCAGTTTCTGGAACATAAATTAGAAAATGAGACAGAGTATAAGTTTATTAAAGAATCTGAAGTTGGCTCATTAGTTATTCACCCCAGAGATTAGGCCAAACGTTCAGGTATAAATCATGAAATTCCTCCTTCATCTGCAGGCTGAAGTCCATAAAGGTCAACACGGCTCAGGGGAAGTTGTATTGTTACTCTGCAGGCGTTTCCCGTTTTATTTTTAAAGGAAATGGAACATGTGAAGCAGTCTGTCACCCTTGTAGAACCAAACACCGACCACAGCTCATAGCAGAGGTATTTCCTCCTTTAACCATGAAGGAATCAGTTTCCTCCGCAAATCTCACATGGTCTACCTTCTGCTCCTGTCATTCATGGACGGATGGTCAGGTGGATGGATGTTGGATTGAATGAATTACAGGAAGTGTATTGGTCCAATAATGAATTCTTCATCATCCAGATCTTTTTCTCATTCCACAAGTGGTCCTGCTAATCCCTGTTCTCTGCCTTCTGTGCATTGTCTCCTTGGACTGTCACAAACCAACACCTGAAGTCAGCTGGGTAACCCAAACCAGGAGCTGAGAGCAGCCTTATCATGATTTGATGAAGGGTAAACCTGGTTTAGAGTTGGAAGACTTTTTTTCTGTGTTTGAAAGTTTTTGTTTCCAGATTTGAGCACAGCAAGCCACACCTAAGCTGCCAGAAATCAGTTTCACGCACGCGCGCACACACACACACACACACACACACACACACACACACACACACACACACACACACACACACACACCATATATACCAAGTAGTATTTTTTTGACTACGTTGTGATTGCTTTGTAAATATCCTATTTAGTAAGAGATAAACGTTATTGTCTTTATCTTATTGAATCTATAACAGGTTAACTAGTAGTAGCACATTCCATGTCAAATAAAGTAAAATGTTATCAGGAGAGGGAGAATGTTAAGTGGTTAGCAGCAGTATGCTAGCCAGCCTCCATGAGGCAACCACAGCTCAGCAGAACACCATTGTAGCTTCTTCTGGGGAGAAAAACATCTTACTCCCTGATCGTTATTAAGCGTGAGTGTGCAAGCATCCAACCTACTCTCCCTCCATGTTCAAAATATTTCCAATGTGATTTAGAAATTGCAAAAACGGCCTGTCGAGTGGTCATTTGGAGCACCATTCGATTCCTAACCAGAGTCTGTAAGGGGGAATGGCTACTGTCCTCATCTAAGGTCTTCAACTCCTACAGCAATGATTTACGTCACTCAATTCTTGTTTTCATGGTAAAAAATTATTTGACCCCTCAGATAAGCCTTCAAGGACTCTCAGATAGTAGAAGATGGCATTCTGGGGGTTTGGTTGATCTCGATAAAATTTTGATCTCAGTGTTTATGGTTTCAACAAAACTTTCATCCAAAAGGGGCAAAGAATTAAACCACCAAGGGCGGTACATCAGTCATGAGCTCAGGATAGGACATTTTACATTGAGAGGACTATGATGATCCCTCTGACCACATGAATTTCTCCAGCCTTATGGACTCCTTCAGCTTTACCCAGCATGTTTCTGGCCCCACACACACCGGAGGCACACTCTAGACCTTGTTTTTACCCTGAGTCTAAATGCTGACATTGTTTGTCCTGAGGACGTTTATATTTCAGATCACCATAGCATTTTCTTTAACTTGTCAGTTTCTGCGTCCCCACCTCGTGTTCGCCGTCTGGTTAGTTCTCGTTTTCTTAATGAGAGCACAGCTAGCAATTTTTCTGCTGCTTTTCATCCACCCTGTTCTTCTGATAATGACCCAGATTCCTTAACTTCTCAGTTTAACGAGCACTGCCTCTCCATTCTGGACAACATCTGTCCTGTCAGAACCAGATCAGTTCCTGCAGTGAACCCTACTCCCTGGTTTAATGACAGCCTTCACAACCTAAAGTGCCAATGCAGAAAAACTGAGCGCTTGTGGAAGAAAACCCATCTCCACGTCCATCTGCTGCACCTAAAGGATCTTCTGACATCCTTTAACTCTGCAGTCAGAGACGCGAGGGTTTCCTATTTCCCCAACCTGGTGTCCCAGAGCAAAGGGAACCCCAAGGTGCTGTTTAACACCATCAGCAGCATCATCTCTCCTGCCTCTCGTACAGCCTCCATCCACTCTGTTGCAGACTGTGAGAACTTTCTGTCTTTCTTTGTGGACAAAGTCAATAAGGTTAGATCTAGCATCTCTCCTTCAGCCTTATCGCTGCCTCTCCCGACTCCAACAAGGCCCATCATCATAGATAGCTTTGCTCCTGTTTCTTTGCTTGAGTTAACCAAACTAGTTAACTCTATGAAGACCTCTGCATGCCCCCTCGACATCTTACCCTCATCTTTGTTTAAAAATGCTTTTCAGTCCATCGGTCCCAGCGTGCTCCCTATGCTTCTCTGGTTTCTGGTCAGGTTCCTCCTTACTTTAAGAACGCTGTAATCCACCCGCTTCTTAAAAAAAACGAGTCTTGACGCCTCTCACCATAGCAGCTTCAGACCCATCTCTAAACATCCGTTCATCTCCAAGATCTTGGAAAAGGTTGTGGCTAAACATCTCCCAGCTGCTCTTGATGAACATAACATCTATGATTGTTTCCAGTCAGGTTTTTGTAGAGCTCATTCTACTAAAACAGCTCTTCTTAGGGTCTCTAATGACCTTCTGACTCACAGTGATGCAGGGGACTGTTCTGTTCTGGTCCTGCTGGACCTGACTGCAGCCTTTGACACTGTTGACCATCACCTGCTACTGGAGAGGCTGAGAGACTGGGTAGGCCTATCAGGATCTGCTCTGGAGTGGTTCTCCTCTTATCTTTCTGAGTGCTCCTTTTCTGTGGCCATCTCCAAGTTTAGGTCCTCCACCACCTCCCTTACCCATGGTGTCCCACAAGGTTCTGTGTTGGGGCGTCTGCTCTTCCTCCTCTATCTGCTTCCTCTTCAGCACATCCTGAGCTCCTTCAAAGGAATCTCCTACCATCTTTATGCTAATGACATCCAACTGTACATCTCCTTTAAGCCCCATGAGATGTCTAAGCTGCAGCTGTTACACACCTGCTTAGACTCTATCAAACCCTGGATGGCTGGGAGCTTTCTTCAGCTGAATGAAGATAAGACTGAGATCCTCATCTGTGCCCCAGACAAGCTGGTTCCCAAAGTCAGATTCTCTTGGTCAGCTTGCTTCTCACACCAAACCCTCTGTCAGGAATCTTGGCGTGACCTTTGACCCAGCTCTCACCCTTGATTCTCATGTCAGTTCTCTTGTTCGCTCTTCCTTCTTCCATCTCAGGAACGTTGCTAAGCTGAGTCCCATTCTGTCTCGCTCTGAACTTGAGACAGTTATCCACACCTTCATCTCCTCACGCTTAGACTACCGTAACTCTCTTTTCACGTGTCTGAGCAGAACCTCCCTGAACCGTCTGCAGGTGGTTCAGATTGCCTGTGCTCGGCTTCTGACCAAGTCCTCCAAACACACCCACATCACCCCGCTTCTCCTCCAGCTTCACTGGCTGCCAGTCAACTTCAGGGTTCATTTCAAGATCCTGGTTCTGGTCTATAGGGCCTTACATGGACAAGCACCATCTTACATTGGTGATCTTCTTAGTCCCTACACCCCCAGCAGGTCCCTGAGGTCCAGTGATCAAAGCCTACTGGTTGTGCAGCACCAGGCTAAAGACCAAAGGTGACAGATCATTTGCTGCTGTGGCCCCCAGACTCTGGAACTCTCTCCCCCTGAGCCTGAGATCAGTGGACTCAGTGATCTCCTTTAAAAAGCAGCTGAAGACTCACTTGTTCAAGCTGGTTTTTGTATGACCTTCTTCAACCACTCTCTTTATTTTGCTCTCGTCACCTATTCCACCTTCCTCAGCATCCACTGATTTCCCTCTTTCCTATTCATTCTCTCTCTTTCTTTACATTTTTTAATCACAATGGTCAATGTTTTTTCTAATTTAAAATATATTTTTAATCATTTTCTAAATTTTTTACATTTTTTTTTTTTACATTTTCTGTTTTTGTGAAGCGCCTCGTGATTTTTATCTTGAGAGGCACTATAGAAAAGATCTGTTCTTCTTCTTCTTCTGTGATCTGAAATAGCAATGGCCCCATAGTCACATTCCTTCACCATATGTAAAGTTCTAGCATTCACAAAAAAACATCTATTCAGGAGAAAGTTTTATGAACAGAGGAAAAATATTAGTTTGACTTTGAAATAAGATTCCGAGAACGCCATACATAGGAGGCCAAGAAACTTTGAATTGACTGAGCTGATTTGGTAAGAGCCATCCAGTCACATGCTGGTCAGGTCCAAGGGGTGGAGCTTGCATCGCCTGCCGTCTTTCTTGAGGATTTATCTTCCTCTGGGTTGTAACACGGGCACTCTTGCGCTTCTTAGCATTAGTCACTATTCTTCTAACCAATTCAAGACCCACAACGAAGGTCAAAGCTAAAATGAAGCGTTAGGCGTTGAGTGTTAGGAATTGCAAGATAATTTCCAAAGTGTCTTGCCTTTTTCTCAAAAGTTCTCAGTTTCCTCTTGTAAGACTCAGGGTCTCACTCTCAGGTTTTTGGAATTTTGATCAAATTCAAATGATTTCTTCCACATTTTCTCTTAAAATTGTCGGGGAGTCCTTGAGGGCAACTAATACCCATCTCAGTTTAGTTTGTGTGGGTCTGAAGTGTGACGGCCTTCTGAGGATTCTGCCTCTGGTTCCAACTATGTTTCCATCTGTTCCCAGGTTATGACTTTGCAGAGGTGCTGCGCTGGTTTGGGGAGCGAGTGGATCGGATCATCCTGCTGTTTGATGCCCACAAACTGGATATTTCTGATGAGTTCTCTGAGGCCATTAAAGCACTCAAGGGCCAAGATGACAAGATCCGAGTTGTCCTCAACAAGGCGGATCAGGTGATGACGGAACTTAATCCCTGATCCCTAAATGACCTCTGACCTTGTTTAAACCTTGCTTTGACCTCCTCCTGACTTTGTTCTCCACACCTGTATCTAGGTGGACACACAGCAGCTGATGCGAGTGTATGGCGCCCTCATGTGGTCATTGGGGAAGGTGATCAACACTCCAGAGGTTGTGAGAGTTTATCTGGGCTCCTTTTGGGCCAAACCGCTGCAGAACACAGAGAACAGGTGGGATTTGTTCTTTCGTTCCTCCCTTCCCCTCCTCCCGCCAACCTCAGACGTTTTCACAATCATGTATTGATCAGAGTTTTTTGTGTGTCTTATTTGACCCTTTTTGGCGTCCAAATTTGCTTTCTTTTCAGGCGTCTGTTTGAGGCGGAGTCTCAGGACCTCTTTCGGGATATCCAGAGTCTTCCGAGGAATGCTGCTCTCCGTAAACTCAATGACCTCATTAAGAGAGCGAGGCTGGCCAAGGTGAGACAGGAAGTCGCATGTTGTTGTAGGAAATAGTTTTCAGACCCTCAGGAATCTTGGGTGTTGTGGAATGTTTTAAGAGTGAGTACTGGTTTCTTCATGAACTTCATAAACCGATCCCTTCAGGCTGGGTTTGTGTTTAACAGCAAGCCCTTTAATTTTAAAAGCAGTTTTTCAGCTGCTTGAAGGTTTACTTTAGGACCGTCTCTTGTTTGTAAAGATGTTTGTTTGGTCTTCTTCCCACAGGTGCATGCTTACATCATCAGCTACTTAAAAAAGGAGATGCCAACTCTCTTTGGGCGAGAGAAAAAGAAGGAGGAGCTTCTAATCAGGCTTCCAGAAATCTACACCATCTTGCAGAGGGAGCATCACATTAGTCCTGGAGACTTTCCCAGCGTCACCAAGATGCAGGTAAAAACGATCCTGCTGATCAGGAACACTTGTGGTTCACATCACCACCAGCAACACGCTAGCGTTGGCTGGTAACAAAATGGTTTTCATCTGAGGAGCCGTGAGTGGAAGCAGGTTTAAACACATCAAAGCCAGCATTAACCACTTCTCGCTGTTTACCAAAATAGTTTGAAGCTTCAAATAGAAACCAGAGTGAGAGTCACGAGTGTTCAAACCCTTTAAAACGATCTTCTAATAGTAAATAGAAACATGGCTGTTGATCCTAGAAGAAACGAGGGCCCGGGTGGGATTCGATCCCCAGACTCCCGGGTGAGAGTCATGCGCGCTAACCAGTCAGACAAAGGGCCAAGTAGCCAGGGCGCATGATCAATCGGGACACATGACATGACATGACGCTCACACTGCCACACTAGGAAAAGCTTTAAAGTTGCACAGCATCATGTGACTCACCCCTTAGAGTTTCAAAATTTGCTGCCGTTAGGCTTTTTATCTCCACCAGCTTTGATGCTGCTGCACAAGTGGATGACTGCAGCAGACTTATAGAAGATAGAGAGGAGGTTCAGCAGCTGAGGCAGTTGTGTGACAATAACCAAGATGATGGCAGACTTTAAAAGAGCCAGGCGGATGAAGATCTGTGCCCTCTACATGACAGGAGAGGAGGTTGAGTGTGGAACGCTTCAATCCCCAAGTGGTCCACATCTCCACCAACCTCTCCTGGTCCACTAATATCTCACACCAGTTTGGGAAGTTGGGGAAGTATCAAACAAAAACTGGACATCCTCAGGAAGCTACATCAGACCCAACTTTACTATCAAGAGCCTCCTGGCAACTGCTGCACAGTGTGGTAAAACAGTTTCACTCAGGAGGACGTGAACGACCCGTGAGGCATGGTGGAGAAACGAGGACCCGGGTGGGATTTGATCCCCAAACTCCCGGGTGGTAGTCACGCGTGCTAACCAGTCATCCAAAGGGAAATCCCCTTGGCCAAGTAGCCAGGGCGCTTGATTAATTGGGTCACAGTGACAGGACGCTCACACTGTCACATCTTAGAAGTCGGACACTGGTTAGCGTGCGACTCTCACCCGGGAGTCTGGGGATCAAATCCTGCTCGGACCCTCGTTTCTCCACCTTGCCACACCTGCATCGGGCGGTGAGAAATGGCCTGGAATGAGCCCTGCTTTCCTATAGTCACTTGTTCGCCAGAACCTTTTAGAGGCCGACCAAAATTCCTTCTTCACCAACACCCGAGCTTTTGCCTCGAAGAAATATAAAACAAAAACGTCTTTGTTAATTTGTCTGCAGGTAAATCCAAACTTGTTGAAGGAGAATTGTAAACTAGGGTTTAGACAACTGTGCCCCAAAAGCCTCCATCGGCTTAATGGCTGTCATCATCGCTGGTGTCCATCAACAACACCCCAGCCCACCCCACTACTCATGCCACTTTGACAGATGCCAACAGCCCTCGCGATACCATCCTCTGGCACCCGTGGATAAACAGAGAAGGAAGTGACGCCGCCAACAGCAACGAAACCCTGAGGAAGGCTACAGTGATAGTTAAACGTCAGCAAAAATAACACTTTTGATGTGAAACAAAACCAGTTGTAATGTAGTTGGATAAAACACACAGAATGAACGTTCAAAAGATATTTTATCATATATTTTAATGTTTTTTCACCAATTGTGATGCAAAAACACCTGATCTGTTGAATAAAACAACAAAAACTACTTTTTCATGACACAGTATAATAGGCAAACATTATTTTATCTTGGAACTTTATTATCTTATTTTTTTATTTTTTGTGTGGGAGTGGTTAAACAGTTAAATCAGTTTAACATCCAGCTAATTCAGAATGGTTTCTATGTGATTTCTTCCCAATTCTAATTCAACACTGTTGCAGTCCGAGTAGGATTGATAAAAGACAACAGCATCATCACAGCTGCATGCTCACGCTGAGCCAAACTCATGTGCTCCTCAGAGGTCAGAGGGGCTGAAATGTCCAGCTGCAAACATCAGGAGCCTCCATTCCCAGACCAAGTGTTTACGTAATGTTTCTTTTTTAAACACATCACATATGCTTGCTTCATTCCTCTAAGTTAAAATGTACCAGAGTTTCTATCCTGTCATGCCAAATTAGGTAACTGGTTCTCTGTTATCATTCATCAACAGTCACATTTAACTCTGTGGCATAAGGTAAATGCAGGTGATGGGTAACAGCAGGTAACAGCATTTAACGATTAACAGCAGGGAACGGTATTTAATGGGTAACAGCAGGTAACAGCAGGTAACAGTGGGTAACGAGAAACCGCAGGTAATAGGAACAGGTAACAGAAGGTAAAGGGTAACAGCCGATAATAGAGAGTAACGAGTCACAGCATTTAATGTCTAACTACGGGTGATAGCTGCCAGTAACGGCAGGTAACGGGTAACAGCACATGATGGTGGGTAACGGGTAACTGCATTAAACAGGTAACAGCGGGTAGGTCAAAATAGAATTGTTGAAAGACAGTTTTAGTACATTTGGTTTTGTTTATGAAAACCGAGAACAGGTTTGTGTTGTATCAAATTAAAGTACGAAAAATATATATTTTTCCCCCAGTCTACCTTTTATGGCTTTGTTTAGTTTTTGTCTAAACCTACACCTGGACTTTTCTTGTTTACTGTTTGAACTCTGCTTCTCCTCCAGGACATGTTGCAGCACTACGACTTCAGTAAGTTCCCATCGCTGAAGATCAAACTGATTGAGTCGGTGGATAAGATGTTGGCCACAAAAATTGCGGGTCTCATGTCGATGATCCGAGAGGAGGAGTCCAAGCAGCCTCCGGCCATGGTGTCGGGTGGTGCCTTCGAGGGCTCCCAGGATGGACCCTTTGGTCACGGTTATGGAGAGGGCATCAGTGCCGGGGCTGATGCTGAAGACTGGATCATCGCCCGCGACAAGCACCGTTACGACGAGATCTTTTACACGCTGATGCCTGTTAATGGAAAGATCACCGGAGTCAACGCTAAAAAGGAGATGATGAATTCCCGGCTCCCGAACACGGTCCTGGGAAAGATCTGGAAGTTGGCTGACTGTGATCATGATGGCATGCTGGACGATGAGGAGTTTGCCCTGGCCCAGCACCTGATTAAAATCAAACTGGAGGGCTATGAGCTGCCTGTGGAACTTCCTGATCACCTCATTCCTCCGTCTCACCGCAAAGCCCCCCATGCAGACAGCTTGTACAACCACAGTGAAGACTAGAGCCATTGAGCAAGGCACCAGAGACAGACTGAGCTCCGGACAAATGAACACTCCCAAAATCATCTAGAACTTCTCTTGTAAGAGTTTTTAGGTTGAACACTTCATCTATGTCAGAAACTCCTCATAATAAAAGTCTGGATTAATTTGAACATTTATTAATTTGAACATTTATTTTGAAAAGGCAGCATTTTTCTTTTCCTGCTTCAACTTTCCTGGATTACTTTTCAGATTTTGGTCAAAACCTTTTCAGGTGGTTTTTCTTTTTTCTGATTATGTTATTTTGATTTTCAATGTACTTTGTTAAACATGAATTATATTTTTGATTTTAACTAATAAAAGGCTGTTTAAAACTTTGACAGGCGAGCACAGGGGCAGGTCAATAGTTACCTGGTGGTTCAATATAGCATAGAAGTGGGATTATTGTGTTGACCACCATAGTGTCACCAGTTTTACTTTTTAGATTTTTTATTAAACATGTCTTATTAGGAGAAATTTTGAGAAAACTACAAAAATAAAGTTTAAAAGCTGTCTTCTGGAGTCTAAACTCACATCCTGCTTCAGGTGCAGCTGCAAAATTCAAACACACGAACCAGTGATGCAAAATTTAGAACAGAGGACTCAAAAACTAAAACCCAAGCTGAAATTACGGATAAGTTATCTAGTTTTGTTGTATCAGGTTGTGACTATTTTTTTTCCAAAACTTTATTAAACAAGGTGATAAGTATACAAACAAATTGCATACAAAATTGAACAAAGAACATGAAACATACCAGGGTGTATCAGGTTGTGACTAATCAGTGACGCCTCACACCCTGGACACGCCTCCTGCTGGTTAATCTGGAGAATCACACACAAGCCTATCTGCGGTTTCCTTCTCCATATCCGGTAATAAGCTTAGACAAATAAACGTTTTAACACTCTGAAACCGGTTTAGTGTTTGATAAAAACAAACTTTAGATTGTTGCTTGGTGTTTGATATTAGAAGGAACACAGCTGCCTTTGTGTGAGAAGCACCAAGAAAAGGTTTCTGTGGAGCCAAATGGAGACTTATTTGTCAGTTCTAAATCACTTAATATCATTTTTTTTGCGATGGAAAACTCTTGTAAATACTTTTACATTTCAGCAGGTTTGTGACCATCTTTTGCCTCGTTTTAGTATTTTCATCTTGTTCTCTGCCAACAAAAGAAAATATGCATTTAGTTTTTAACAAAAGAAAGTTTAAATTCTTAACTTTTGTTTTTGCCTAGAATCACTTCCAGATCAAAAGAGAATCATGTTATGAAGAATTTATGGATATTTAAAATAAAAAAGCATCAGTCAGTTTTGATGTTTTTATTCCATTTTTAGTTTAAGTCACTTCAACTAGAAGTTTATTGTAAAAAGTATTAAGCAGTTCATGTTTCAGTTCTGAAAGCCACTAAAAAGATTTAAACCCAATTTATTAACATTATTGCCGATAGTCCTTGTTGGGTATCTTCCTGGTCAGCTACAGGTCCTATAATCCTTGTTAGGTGGGATGTATTCGTTGGAGAGCTCCACAAATGCTCATCTCAACTTCAGTAGTTTTCTCCAACCATTTCCAGGTAAGTTATGATCAACTCCATGACTGATCATAAACTAAATATTTGATTTGAAAAACAATTTTTTTTCTTTTTATTTCAAACAAATAAAACAATACATATAGTATTCTCCAACTTAGATAACTTATCACAACCATAATTATTAGAAAAGGAACAGGAAGAAGCGTAGCTTGTTTCACCTATCTCTAAATCAATTTACTAATACTTAAAAAAAATTAAAATATCAGAATACAACAACTTCTGAACACAACATCACTTAAAAGTATCAACATCAATTACAACGTTAATATTGTCACTACAGTACGTATACAAAGTAGTGATCCTCTTGTCTATATGTGGAATAAATGAATTCTTTATATAGTTTCTTAAATTGCACTATATTTAAACTTTCTTTGATTCTTTCCTCAAGACTATTCCATAAAATAACTCCACTAATTGAAATACACATACTTTTCAATTTTGTTCGAGCATAATCCTGCTTCAAATTTAATTCCCTTCTCAACTTATATCCACCTCGTCTTTCTGCAAACAGTTTTTGAATATTTTCAGGCAGTATTTTTATTTACTTTGTACATAAATAATGCAGTCCTAAATTCTATCAAATCTTTGAACTTTAAGGTTTGTAATTTTATAAACAAGGTGTTTGTGTGTTCATTATATCCCACATGACTGACCAACCTTATGGTTCGTTTTTGTAACTTACAAAGTGCATATCGATGTAGATGTTTCCCCACACTTCAACACAGTAAGTTAGGTATGGTACTATCAGTGTGCAGTACAGTATATACAATGCCTTTTGATTCACTAAATGCCTTACGGTACTTTTCCCAACAGCCCAATACTCCATGCTACCTTTCCTTTAACATATTTAATGCAAGGTTTCCAACATTATTTGTGATCAAGGATCTTTCTATAATAATATCATTTATAGTTATTGCCATATGTGTGTTTATTTTGCATTTTCCAAACAGCATAACTTTAGTTTTGTTTAAGTTTAATGATAATCTATTCCTCCTTGAACCGTCACCTTATCGTGGTGGAGGAGTTTGAGTGCCCTAATGACCCTTGGAGCTATGTTGTCTGGGGCACTTTGTGCCCCTGGTAGGGTCTCCCATGACAAATTGGTCTTAGGTGAAGGGTGAGACAAAGAACGATTCACAGGATCTTTCATGGAAGTACAATCAAAGAGTTGGAGTACCCGGCCCAGAGGGTTACCAGGGTCCCACCCTGGAGCCAGGCCTGGGGTTGGGGCCCGTGAGCAAGCGCCTGGTGGCCGGGCTTTTGCCTATGGGGCCCAGCCGGGCTCAGCCCGAACCGGATACATGGGCTCATCCAACTGTGGACCCACCACCCGCAGGAGGAACATGAAGGGTCCGGTGCAGTGTGGATCGGGTGGCAGACGAAGGCAGTAGCCTTGGCGGTCCGATCCCCGGACAAGGAAACTGGTTTTTGGGACATGGAACGTCACCTCGCTGGCGGGGAAGGAGCAGGAGCTTGTGGCAGAGGTTGAGCGGTACCGGCTAGATATAGTGGGACTCACCTCGACACATAGCATTGGCTCTGGAACCCAAGTCCTTGAGAGGGGTTGGACCCTCTCCTTTGCTGGAGTTGCTCCGGGTGAGAGGCGAAGGGCTGGGGTTGGCTTTTTGTTAGCCCCAAGACTCTCTGCTTGTGTGTTGGGGTTTACCCCGGGGGACGAGAGGGCAGCTTCCTTGCGCCTTCGGGTCGGGGAACGGGTCCTGACTTGTTTGTGCTTATGGGCCAAATATCAGTTCAGAGTACCCACCCTTTTTGGAGTCCCTGGGACGAGTGCTAGATTGTGCTCTATCAGGGGACTCCATTGTCCTGCTGGGGGACTTCAATGCTCACGTGGGCAATGACAGCTTGACCTGGAGGGGTGTGATTGGGAGGAATGGCCCACCTAATCTGAACTCGAGTGGTGTTTCATTATTGGATTTCTGTGCAAGCCGCAGTTTGGCCATAACGAACACCATGTTCAAACATAAGGATGCCAGTCAGTACACTTGGTACCAGGGCAGCCTAGGTCGCAGGTCGATGATAGACTTTGTAGTCGTATCATCTGACCTGCGGCCGTATGTTTTGGACACCCGAGTGAAGAGAGGGGCGGAGCTGTCATCTGATCACCACCTGGTGGTGAGTTGGATCAGATGGCAAGGGAACATGCCGCGTAGACCTGGCAGACCCAAACGCATAGTGAGGGTCTGCTGGGAACGCCTGGCAGAAGAACCTGTCAAGACGGTCATCAGCTCCCACCTCCGGCAGAGCTTTGACCACGTCCTGAGAGCAGTGGGGGACAGAGTGGGCCTTGTTCCACTCTGCAACTGTTTAGGCGGCTGTTGCTAGCTGTGGTCGCAAGGTGGCCGGTGCCAGTCGTGGTGGCAACCCCCGAACCTGCTAGTGGACACCAGAGGTTCGGGGAGCCGTCAGGCTGAAGAAGGAGGCCTACAGGGCGTGGCTGGTCTGTGGGTCTCCGGAGGCAGCAGACAGGTACCGGATAGCCAAGCGGGGTGCAGCAGTGGCAGTTGCCAAGGCAAAATCTTGGGGGTGGGAGGAGTTTGGTGAGGCCATGGAGAAAGACTATCGATCGGCTCCAAAGAGGTTCTGGCAAACTGTCCGGTGCCTCAGGAGAGGAAGGCAGCAACTCGCTCACACTGTTTACAGTGGGGATGGGGAGCTGCTGACGTCAACTGGGGCTATAGTTGGACGGTGGAAGGAATACTTTGAGGAGCTCCTCAATCCCACCTACGCGCATTCCGAGGAGGAACCAGAGGAGGGAGACCTGGGGATGGACTGTCCAATCTCTGGGGCAGAAGTTGCTGAGGTAGTCAAACAACTACACAGCGGCGGAGCCCCGGGGACGGATGAGATTCGTCCTGGGTATCTCAAGGCTATGGATGTTGTGGGGCTGTCATGGTTGACACATCTCTGCAACATTGCGTGGTCATCGGGGGCAGTTCCTGTGGAGTGGCAGACCGGGGTGGTGGTCCCCATCTTTAAGAAGGGTGACCTGAGGGTGTGTTCCAACTATAGGGGGATCACACTCCTCAGCCTCCCTGGAAAGGTCTACTCCAAGGTACTGGAGAGGAGGGTCCGATCGATAGTTGAATCTCAGATTGAGGAGGAGCAATGTGGTTTTCGTCCTGGCCGTGGAACTGTGGACCAGCTCTATACACTTGCAAGGGTGATGGAGGGGGCATGGGAGTTTGCCCAACCAATCCACATGTGTTTTGTGGATTTGGAGAAGGCTTATGACTGTGTCCCCAGGGGCACCCTGTGGGGGACGCTCCAGGAGTATGGGGTGGGTGGCTTTCTGTTAAGGGCCATTCAGTCCCTTTACCAGAGGAGCGTGGGTTTGGTCCGCATAGCCGGTAGTAAGTTGGAACTGTTCCCGGTGAGGATTGGACTCCGCCAGGGCTGCCCTTTGTCACCGGTTCTGTTCATTACCTTTATGGACAGAATTTCTAGGTGCAGCCGTGGTGTGGAGTGTGTCGAGTTTGGTGGCAGGAGAATCTCGTCTCTGCTTTTTGCGGATGATGTGGTCCTCCTAGCTTCATCCAGCTCTGACGTTCAGCTCTTGCTGGGTAGGTTTGCGGCCAAGTGTGAAGCGGCTGGGATGAGGATCAGCACCTCCAAATCTAAGACCATGGTTCTCGACCAGAAAAGGGTGGCTTGCCAACTCCGGGTCGGGAGAGAGGCCCTACCTCAAGTGGAGGAGTTTAAGTATCTCGGGGTCTTGTTCATGAGTGAGGGTAGGAGGGATCGGGAGATCCAGAGGCGGATTGGCTCAGCATCCGCAGTGATGCGGACGCTGAGCCGATTTGTTGCGGTGAAAAGGGAGCTGAGCCAGAAAGCCAGGCTCTCGATTTACCGGTTGATCTACGTCCCAATCCTCACCTATGGTCATGAGCTTTGAGTAATGACAAAAAGAACGAGATCACAGATACAAGTGGCCGAAAGGAGTTTACTCCGTAGGGTGGCCGGGCTCAGCCTTAGAGATAGGGTGAGGAGCTCGGTCATTCGGGAGGGACTTGGAGTAGACCCGCTGCTCCTCTGGATCGAAAGGAGCCAGTTGAGGTGGTTTGAGCATCTTGTCAGGATGCCTCCTAGACGCCTCCCTGGGGAGGTGTTTTGGTCATGTCCTGCTGGCAGGAGGCCCCCGGGTCAACCCAGGACACGTTGGAGAGGTAACATCTCCAATCTGGTCCGGGAATGCCTTGGGGTCCTGCCGGGTAGCTGGTGGAGGTGGCTGGGGGGAGGACGGTCTGGAGCTCCCTAGTTGGGATGCTGCCCCCGCGATGCGGACCTGGATAAGCGGAGGAAGACGACGATGAAGATGAAGGTAATCTATTCAAATCAAAACATAGTTTCAGTTTAGCCATTTCTGTTACCAACTCACAAAGATCTTGCAAATTCTCTCCCAAAGCCAAAATGTTTGTATCATCTGCAAAGAAAACACATTTTAATGCTGTGGAAACTTCACACAAATCATTAATACATAAAATAAATAGCTTTGGACCCAAAACTGACCCCTGTGGCACCCCACAATCGATACTAAGCAGTTCTGACATATAATTATTTATTTGGACAAATTGATTTCTATTAGTTAAATAACTTCTAACCCAACTGAGAACAACTCCCCAATACTATTTTTTGAAGTTTATTAACTAATACTGTATGATCAATTCTATCAAAGGCTTTTTTTTAATCTACAAATACTCCAACTGCATATTCCCTCTTATCTATAGAACCAGTGATTTCTTCAACAATTTCCATTAATGTAATTGATGTAGATCCATTTGTTCTGAACCCAGCCTGACTATTTGATAACAGATTATGATTTTCAATGAATTTATCCAGTCTACTGACAAATAACTTTTCTAAAATTTTCGAAAATTGTGATAATAATGAAACTGGTCTATAATTAGTGAACTGCTTATTGTCTCCCTCTTTGTATAATGGAATAAACTTAGCCATTTTCATTTTACATGGAAATAAACCTGCTGTGAAGGACGAATTACAAATATAAGTCATTGGCTGTACAATAACCCCTATAACCTTCTTTATCAAAGACATGTCTTTATCATTCCAATCTGTAGATGTTTTGCTTTGACAACCACCAACTATTTCAATAACTTCCCTCTCTGTTACCGGTGTCAAAAACATAGAAGCTGGGTTGATTTCTCTGAAGTCCTCAGCTCCTCCCCCTCCCTCCTCTAACTGAGGAGTAAAAATGTTTTCAGCCAGTTTTGGTCCCACATTTACAAAGTAATTACTAAACTTTATTTAGACTTTAACTGTGGCATTTATAAATGTATGAATGACATGGTGAAAATATGACTTAAAAATTAAGTTCAATTGTTGTCTCTTGTGAAAGGCTAACACCCAAAATATTCCTCTAAAATTTGAATGTTTCTCTTTACAAATAGCCCCCATAAGCTTTAGCACGACACAATGATAAAGATGGCTCTCCCTGGCTCTGCCTCTCCCCTGCCTCATTGTAAGGGGTTAGGAAAATTTGGCTCATCCCTTTAGTTATGCTGTTATAGGCTTCGGCTGCTGGGGGACATACCGGGTTACCCTGGCTCATCCCTTTAGTTATGCTGTTATAGGCTTAAGCTGCTGGGGGACATACTGGGTTCCCTTGGCTCATCCCTTTAAAATGCTTGTATGAACACACAAACCAAATTTACAACAGGACTAGAAGGCTACAGAACCCATGAGCCTAGGCAGATTTGGCAGGCCCAATGCTGACACATCCACACTCATTCTCTTTTAGGGGTGGTAACATATGCACATGTCTGGGGACCTGCATCACTAACATCCCATGAATCATAAAACCTTGTCTTACCTCAAAGTTGACATGTACCTTTTTTAACAGGTTATAATCTGTCTATGAACTGTGGAAAACATGTTCAGGAAGTTCTTTGCACAAAATCTCTCTCACTTAAAGTGATCTCACCAGCTCTATTCTTGACCTCCCATGATGAGCCATTTCATGACTGTCAGGTGTGGTTCACTTGTTTAATTAATATGTGAAGTCATGCTATCAGGCTTTTCAAATCCTAGAGTTTCAACATCTATTTTCGATAAGAAGCTAATGCAGGAGACAGGTGTAGGAGACCATTTTCATGTTCCGCCTGCATGAAAAACTCAGAGTGATGAATTATAATCAGAAATAATCACTAAAACGTTTTTTTTTTTCAGTGAACCACACCATTAAACAAAATAAGTGGTTGGATGGCCACGCCCACTACCCACTCCCCCAATTGGTTTTTGTAAGCTCAGGATAAGACAGGAGGGGCTCCAAGTAGAGCTGCTGCTCCTGCAGTGTTGACAGGTGAATGGTGGTTCTAATTTTGCTTATTGTGATTTCAAAATAAGAGAACTTTTTAAATGGCTCATAGAAGCACGTGATTCCTGAAACCAAACACTGACAGAAAACTGATGCATGTTTTTATTCACCTTTGTATTGTTCCCACTTGGCAGCACAAAAAAGTAACATTTGCATAATAAATCCCTTTAATTAACTAGATTTATTTCTTCTTATTCATTTCAGTTTCAACTAGATCCTAGTCTGCTCTTTGTTTAATTTAAAATGTACCAAAGTGGAGGCATTGCCACAGATCAATAAGGGTATGAAGCCAATAAACGCAAAACATTTTTATGTAAAAACCATCGACATAGGTAAAAACTGGCCAGGCTCCACTCATACTCCAGGCCAGCAGGTGGCGGTATTGCTCCTGACAGTTGGTTGGTCACTAAACGTCAGAAGACTAGCTGGAGGTCTCCATGTGACCAGAAGCTGGTTCTCGTTCCTGAGCCGTTATGGACTTCTCTGAAGCCAAGTTGAAGCTTCAGCAGCTGCTGAACAATGTGACACCGTCCGAGCTTCCAAAGCTGCTGGAATGGATGAGGAACTCAGGTAAACACACCTGCACGTGCGCCTTGTGATTTGTGAATGAAACGTCATTCATCTTCAACACAAAGTCTAGTGTCACCAGCATCCCTAAAGGTCTGGAGAAGAGAGATTAAGCAGGTAGTTATGAGTAGATAAACACGCGTGTTAATGCACAGAGACGTATGTACAATAAAATGTCGAAAGCACCAAACCAGAGAGCCCAGAGCAGGCGTTGTGCTCCTAGTGGTGCTTAGACAAGACTTGGGAGTCTGCACTGTCAGATTTGTGTGTAAATAACAAACATTCCCTGTATTTCATAGAGTTAATTGCTACAATATAGTAACAGCAGTTCAGTTCCAGTTGATTTTTTAGAGTATCCAGTTAACTGTTCTGTTCTGGTTCTGCTGGACCTGACTGCAGCTTTTGACACCGTTGACCATCACTTGCTACTGGATAGGCTAAGAGACTGGGTAGCAGAGGTTTGACCAAGTCACTGCTTTGCAAGTAACAAGAAAGTCACAAGTCTTTCCAGTCAAGTCAAAAACAACCAAGTCCAAGTCGAGTCCAAAGTCAATGATGTGGAAGTCCAAGTCAAGTCCAAGTCCTTAACTTTGAATTTTTAAGTCATAATCAAGTCATCTGTCCAACTTCTATTTAATAACAATGATAATAAATAAATCCCAGAAATAAAGATTCTTAAAGCTTCATTTATTTGCTCAAACAGCAGGAACTGAAACTGATTATAAACAAAGAGCTGCTGCATTCAGCAGAACAAGATCTAACCCAGAACGAAGAGTCATTTATGATTTTTGTCCATGTCATGTCACTTTTGTGCTAAAATATTAAATATGCTCAAGTCATCATCAAGTCAACAGAAGCAAGTCGATTCAATCAAAATTCATTGGCGTTCAAGTCTGAGTCAAGTCGTAAGTCCCTATAGATTTTATCAAGTCAAGTCAGAAGCTATTAAAATAATAACTCGAGTCTGACTCAAGTCCAAGTCATGTGACTCGAGTCCACACCTCTGCTGGGTAGCCCGATCAGGATCTGCTCTGGACCTGCCTCACCCGTGGTGTCTCACATTTTTACTCCAGTCGGGTCAGCCCAGCCTGGGCCTAGTGGGGTGATTGCATTTATGGTGTATTTACAGTTCTGGTTCTTGCTGCAGCTCTGGTCTGAGCTGCAGTCAGAGAAGATGTTAACCTCACTGCCTCCAGAGTGCTAATGAATCGAGCGCGTGGCAAGTCGCTGCTGGCTGATTCTCATGAGTTACATGACTTTGTGAGACATCAGGTCACCGCTCCAGACACTTGAATGAACTCCCTGTGCCACAAAGAACAGTTTTAGAAAACACTCCGGTAAAAAAGGGTCCACACTAATGTCGTAACATCACAAAAAAAAAGCATATTTTTATGGGACAAGGATCAAGCTTTTATGTTTACTCATCAGTAAGTGGCTGGAAAATCTTCAAACCGTTAATGAAAATTCTGACTTGATCCCACTAGAACCACAACTCCAAATAATGTCTGTGTGTTCTGTAGGTGAGCTGGATCAGCCGCTGTTCGACAACAACAAGGCGATGCTACGTAGCATAGCCGACGACCTGAAAGCCATGCTGCCTGTGGATGCCATGCTGCCCTCAGAGACAACTGCCCACCTGAAGGTACTGATGTGTTTCGACCCCACAACTCCACCACCCACGGTGCTGCTCAGTGTCACTTTGTCTGCATTTCAGTATACAAAAAGACCCATCACTCTCAAATAGGAGGGATGCTTCGATCAGGTTTTTTGCTGCAGATCACCAATACGGATCACATGGATTGGCCATAATTATGAGTGCTGCAGACTACACAATCATAGAAATGGGGACAATAATGTCACCTTAAATGGCCTGTGTTCATTTAGACAAAATCATGTTTTTACTTTTTCAAGAGAAACAAACGACTTGCTGCACAATCAGTGTGTTTGTTTCTCATCCCACCTCACGGCATGAATTTTGCACAGGTGTGACTCAGACTGGCCACAATAAAAGACCACTCCGAATTATGCAGTTAGATCATAAACGGCACTATGCCACTGATGTTGCAGCTTTTCAGGGGAGCATGCAATTATCATCCCGACTGCAGGGATATCTACCAGAGCTGTTGCAAATGAAATTAATGTTCACTTTTCTACCTTAAGCTGTTTCCAACGGTGTTTCTGAGAATTTGGCAGTACATCCAACTGGTCTAACAACCACAGACTACATCTAACCACAGCAGCCCAGGACCTCCACTTCCAGCATGTTCACCTCCATGATCATCTGAGACCAGCCGCCGAGACAGCTGCAGCAGCAATTGGTTTGCATAATGAAAGAGTTACTGCAGTAGCTGTCAGGAACCGTCTCAGGGAAGCTCATCTGCATGCTGGTCGTCCTCATCTAGATCTGGACCTGACTGCAGTTCGTCGTCATAACCAAAATGATTGGTCAAATGCTCGCGTTCGATGGCGTCTGTCATATTAGAGAGGCTTTCTCTACATGGATGAATCCCAGTTTTCTGGGCAGATGGCCAAAAGCGTGTGTAGCATCATGTTGGTGAGTGGTTTGCTGATGTCCAAGTGGTTCATGGTGGCGGTGGGGATCTGGTATGGGCAAGCGTATGTGCATTTTATTGATGGCATTTTGAATGCACAGAAACACCTTGAGGCTCATTATGCCCTTCATCCACGACCTTCACCTCATGTTGCAGCATGATAATGCACGCGCCCATTTTGTACACAACTCCTGGAAGCTGATACCTTCCCAGTTCTTGCATGACCAGCGTACTCACCAGACGTGTCCCCCACCCACGAGCATGTTTGGGATGCTCTGGATCGGCGTATACGACAGAGTGTTCCAGCTCCTGCCGATATTCAGCATTTCACACAGCTCTTGAAGAGGAGTGGACCAACAATTAACAGGCCACAGTCAACCTGATCAACTCTGTGTGATAGAGATGTGTTGAACTGTGTGAGGAAAATGGTGGCCTCGCCAGATACCGACTGTGTGAGGAGATCAGACCTTAATGTCACGAGTCTTTAAATGTCATCATCTGTGCACACCCTGATGGTAATGTTGATGTTTATTCTGTAATGTTGCCAGATGCAGCAGCGAGCCCGGCCAACTGTCCACGTGGACAGCTTCCTTTACAGTGATGAGCAGGTGGACTCTCTGTGTGAGGAGGGGACCATGAGCAGGAACTACTGCCTCAGCTGTGGATCCATCAGAACTGCTCCGCTGGGTCAGAACACATCTTTGACTTTTACCTACAGAACCAAGACTCTGCTCTCCTATTAAGTCAAGTCAAGTTTATTTATATAGCGCCAAATCACGACAAGAGTCGTCTCAAGGCACTTCACATAATAAACATTCCAATTCAGGTCAGGTCATTAAGCCAATCAGAAATAATGTTTCCTATATAAGGAACCCAGCAAATTGCATCGAGTAGCCAGTGATTTTACATCAATCCTCATACTAAGCAAGTATGCGGCGACAGTGAAGAGGAAAAACCCCTTTTAACAGAATGAAACCTCTAGAGGATCCTGGCTCAGTATAAGCAGCCATCCACCACGACTCACTGGGGATCAAGAAGACAGAGCAGACACACACACACACACACACACACACACACACACACACACACACACACACACACACACACACACACACACACAAGTAATGTTTCTATGGTTACATTGTGATTTCTTAGTAAATATTCTATTTGGTGAGACATAAACTTTATTGTATGTATCCTAGTGAATCTATAATTAAAGGGTAAACTAGTAGTAGCACATTCAATGTCAAGGAAAGTAAAATGTTATTATCAGGAGAGGGAGAATGTTTAAGTGGTTAGCAGCAGTGTGCTAGATGATGGCCCCCTCCGTGAGGCTGCCACAGCTCAGCAGAACATCATTGTAACTTCTTCTGGGGAGAAAAACACTTGGAGAACAAATAAAGTTAACAGCTGAAATAGCAGAAAATAATACAGTTAAAGAGCAAATTGTAGAAGAAAGTAGTCGAGTGTGGAAAGTGGTCAGTGTGTCCTCCAGCAGTCTAAGCCTATAGCAGCATAACTACAGAGATAACTCTGGATAATCTATCCTATTTAGATGGAGGCATGTTGGAGGCAGGGCAAGGGAGAGCCGTCTTTACAGACTGTACACTCCACCTCCCTCTACTCCCCCACTTGTCCAGATCTGGGCTAACATCAGATTTTAACCATAGGCCCTATCAAATAAAAATGTTTTAAGCCTGTTCTTAAAAGTAGACAAGGTGTCTGCCTCACGGACTAAAGCTGGGAGCTGGTTCCACAAGAGAGGAGCCTGATAACTAAAAGATCTGCCTCCCATCCTATTTTTAGATATCCTAGGAACCACCAGTAGACCTGCAGTCTGAGAGCGAAGTGCTCAGTTAGGAACATATGGAACAATCAGATTACTGATGTATGATGGAGCTTGATTATTAAGAGCTTTATATGTGAGAAGAAGGATCTTAAAATCTATTCTGAATTTAACAGGTAGCCAATGTAGGGAAGCTAAGACAGGAGAGATATGATCTCTCTTTTTAATTCTCATCAGAACTCTAGCTGCAGCATTTTGGACAAGCTGAAGACTTTTAACTACATTCTGTGGACTTCCTGAGAGTAATGAATTACAGTAATCCAGTCTTCATGTAATAAATACATGAACTTTTCAGCATCACTCCTGGAAAGGATGCTTCTAATATTCGCAATATTCCGAAGGTGGAAAAAGGAAATCATGCAAGCCTGTTTAACCTGGGATTTGAATGACATGTCCTGGCCAAAGATGACACCAAGGTTCCTTACTTACACTCGATACTAAATAATCTCAGTTCAGGAGAGCAGATAAGAACTGAGATTTGAAACCGTTCTAGGTCCACCTGGTCCAGAGCTAAAACCAGCTCATCTGTTCCAGCTGTGACTGTCTTCTTCTCTTCCTGTAGACTTCATCTCTCACTCCTTCTCGGCATCAGAGCTTCAGTTCCTGTTCCAGAACGTTCTGCCTGACCTGACTGGACGCACACTGGTGGACGTTGGTTCCAGACTGGGAGCTGTGTTATATGGGGTGAGAGGTCACACACTTGTTTTCCTGTGCAGAGCGGCTTGTTTTTTTAAAAGTGAGTTTCTCTCAGTCTGCCAACAGACTACTTCACAGACTCTAAAAAAACACGAGTTCTCATGTTGCTAACCCTAAAAGGTAGAGTATCCATGGATCCAAGCTGTAGGCAGGATTAGGCAGTGCCCAGTGAGAGTCCCACCGGCTCTCCTGAATATTCCGGACCACCCTGCACCGTTCCTCTTCATGGGAATGAGGCATAAGGGTTTCCAGTCGACCAACAACTAGAGAAAGGTCTGTCCACCAGACATGAAGAGGGTGTGGGGCTGATGGTAGATCTGGAGTTTTGATCAAAAAGGATGTATGCCAGGATTTAGTGCATCCTGGGCTTTTGGACATGAGGAACTTGATGGGGAAAAAACTTCTATGGTGATGAAGTCTTTATTGTAACTGTGTGTTCAGGGTTACTTGTACAGCTCGGCATCTCAGCTGCTTGGTCTGGAGCTCAACAAGGACTTTGTCAGGCTGCAGAATGAAATCCTGCAGAAATACAGGCTCACGGACAGAGTTCAGGTTGGTTTCTCTGAAAGCTCCCAACTCACCTATTCAGCTGAATTTATTCCAACCTTCCACAGGTTCTCCACGCAGATGTCTGCACACAAGATGTTCTGCTGCAGAGTGCTGATGTCCTGGTCATGAACAATGTCTTTGAGTATTTCATGGAGTCCAGTGAACAAGTCAGGTAATAAACCTCAGAGTGGTCCAACAGAACCGAGATAAACCCACCTGAAGTATTTTGTTTCTGTCTTCAGATCATGGAAGTTCATCATGCAGAACTTCAGGAGACCAGGATCCCTGCTGGTGTCTGTTCCTAGTCTGCAGGAGAGTCTGAATGCTCTGCAGGTAACATCATCGAGGTTCAGCCTAAAACCACCAGTGGATGTTTCACTATTAAACACAGAATCCAACATAGTCCATCAGACTCATTCTGAGTGAAACATTTACAACAAACATCCTGAAACACTTTAGAGACTGTTTTCCTCTCCATCAGATGCCATTCCAGCCTGGATGGGTGGAAGAAATTCCTCTGGTCTACGACATATACCTGGGAAGGGATGCAGATCCTGATGCCATTAAACAGATCCATCTGTACAGAGTCACATGACCTCAGTTACACTTTTCGATTCAGAGTCAGATGACCTCAGCTACACTCGACTATACAGGGTCAGATGACCTCAAGGCAGATCCAGAGTTACAGAGTCAAGTAACCTGAACTCAGGTTTCTAATTTTACTTGGAGTTGTCATCAATGAGGTAAACATAGTCTGATCTGTTCTGGTCTGAATTGTTTAGGACCGTTTTCAGACCCAGCCACCCTGATCTGAGCTAGTTTAAACATATTTAAATTATGATAGATGAACCGGTATGTTTAGATTTTTACAAATTTAGTTTTGTTCTCTAAACTGAGGGAATCCTGTTTTTATTTTTTTTATTATTATTATTTTTATTTTGTTAATAAAGATCTTTCTTTTGGATATTGTAGTTGTTCTTTTATACAGTTAGTTTTGGTGTAAAATATTGACGACCCTCTGTTCTGTTGTTTCTGGTTTTCCATCTGTTTGTAGATTCTAACTGAATGTTTGGGATTGCCTGGAAAATGTCATCTGTCCATGGAAATGTTGAATGAATGAGAACAGGAAAGTTGTTGAACGAACACCACAAGCAGATGCTATCAGTTAGAAATTAAGGTTTTAATGGAGTTGATGGATGTTTTTCTGTCGGTTCCATCCTGGCAGACATAAGAGCTTCTAGCATCTGAGACCATCCCTGCTTCCTAGAGAACTCTGGCAGACATCTAAGCTGTGGTTTGTTAATTCAATTCGATTTTATTTATATAGCGCCAAATCACGACAAGAGTCATCTCAAGGCATTTCACATAAACACACACTTAGGGCCTTGGGAGTGAACACATTCAACGGCATTTGGCAGGGGGATATTTCAGCCTCCTCCCGGGTGCCGGTGCCCACTTCCAATTTTAAACCGCACTTAGACACCGAGGGCTGAGGGTGTAAGTGGGGTGGTGCGGTGGCATCAGCTGGCATAGGCCGGATGATGCCCGCACTGCCCGCTCACCACTGCCATGGAATACACCTCATGATCACACAACACTATATTGGAGCAGGCGGAGGGAGACTAGGGGTCTTAGCGCACCTCTGTTGTTGCTTGGCTTCCTGGGGCTGGAGGCTAGGAGGGAGATCAGGCCATCTGGTTGGGGTCTGGGGTGGTGGGTTGCTGTGCTCAGCGTTGGGCGGGGGAGCCTGCTCATCAGCACCCCAGCAGAAAGGGTCAAACTCTGGTTACCGGTGATGGTTGTACCCCATGTGCAGCAGTACCGGGACCAGAGTGAATAGGGTGTGTATGGGGAGCATGAGTGGGTGTCCGGCGTGCATTTTTGTAAGTCTTGGGTTGTATGTGCATGTGTGAGCATGAGGGAGGGAGTGTGTGACTGTGTTTGTGTATGACTGTATATGTCAGGTGGGGCCTTTGACTGCTCCCCTCTCCTGGAACTTCTTTTGATGATATAGATCTTCGTGCCCCCTCCCCCTGCCACACCTGGTGTGAGGGTTTGTGCCTTGATCTGCCTGAGTGTTCGTGGCAACCGGGTCTGGGGGTTTAAGATTTTGGCATCTGCCTGATCAATCCCGGTGGCTGCCTGGTGGGGTCTGGGTCCCTGGACTCTGCTGGGTCCCCGGCGGGGGTGGTCGCCCCTGGGTCCCGGGTCGCTGGGTCCCAGGTTCGGCCGGCTAGGGGGTGGGGGGCTGCGGGCGGGCCTGTGGGCTTGCCGCTGATATGTCCCGGGACTCTGCTGGCTGCTGGTTGTGGCCCCCCGGGGCGATCCTCTGTGCCTCTCGAGGGGGGCGGGGGCCTTTCTGGTTGCAGTCTCCTTGGGGTTCCTGTGTTCTGGGGCAGCGCCTGAATCTCTGGGACTTGGAGCTCCCCCCCGTCTCCTACGCATCTTTGGGGGGCGGATCTGTGGTCCCTCACACACTCTGTTGGACGCTCCTATAGATAAACCTTACATAAACAAGCGCGTGTACACACACAGGTGCTCACATGGTGCTCTCAAAAGTAAGGGCTTGGGAACGTTAAACACAGGTCTTAAGACTATGGTGGGCACTTAATGCACTGTGATTTATTATCGTGATTCTTCAGTTAAGCAATGTTGATTATATATTTCGTCATCAAGTTGACGCAGTGATAGCTTGATCTTGTTGTATTGTTGTTGTGTCCCTTTTTTTGTTCTTTTGCTTTTTTGTCTTTTTCTGTAGGTCTAGAAGCAGACTCTTGTTCTTTATTGTTTATTTTTGTGGACCTCTCCCCCCCCCCCCCCCCCCCCCTCCCCACCTTTTCTTTTCCTTTCTCTTTCACCTCTGTCTCCGTGTCTGGTCGGAATTACAAAGCATTCAAAAACAGTAACAATAAAGTTTTAAGTATCAGGTGTGACATTAAAAGCAGATGCTTTGATGCTCCACCTGAGAGTAAATCTGTAAGGCTTGTCACCAGCATTCAGACATCAATTCTGTTTGCTTCACAGCCAGACAGGACACGGTAAAAAAAAAAAAAGAAAGAAAAAGAGATAGCTCTGGATAACCTAGCCTTTTTAGATGGAGGCAGGGCAAGGGAGAGCCGTCTTTACCGACTGTACACTCCACCTCCCTCTACCACCCCACTTGTCCAGATCTAGGCTAACATCAGATTTTAACCATAAGCCCTATCAAATAAAAATGTTTTGAGCCTATTCTTAAAAGTAGACAAGGTGTCTGCCTCACGGATTAAGACTGGGAGCTGGTTCCACAGGAGAGGAGCCTGATAACTAAAAGATCTGCCTCCCATCCTCATTTTAGATATTCTGGGAACCACCAGTAAACCTGCAGTCTGAGAGCGAAGTGCTCAGTTAGGAACGTATGGAACAATCAGATCACTGATGTATGATGGAGCTTGATTATTAAGAGCTTTATATGTGAGAAGGAGGATCTTAAAATCTATTCTGAATTTAACAGGTAGCCAATGTAGGGAAGCTAAGACAGGAGAGATATGATCTCTCTTTTTAATTCTCATCAGAACTCTAGCTGCAGCATTTTGGACAAGCTGAAGTCTTTTAACTATATTCTGTGGACTTCCTGAGAGTAATGAATTACAGTAATCCAGTCTTGATGTAATAAATACATGAACTAGTTTTTCAGCATCACTCCTGGAAAGGATGCTTCTAATCTTAGCAATATTCCAAAGGTGGAAAAAGGAAATCCTACAAACCTAATTAACCTGGGATTTGAATGACATGTCCTGGTCAAAGATAACACCAAGGTTCCTTACTTTGTTCTCGGAGACTCATTTAATGCCATTCAGGTCAGGTGATTGACTAAGTAATTTCCTTTTCTGGATTTCTGGTCCAAACATGAGAACTTCCGTCTTGTTTTGATTTAAAAGCAAAAAGTTTAGAGTCAACCAATTTTCTGTGTCCTAAGACAAGCCTGTAATCTACCCAACCGATTAGGTTCATCAGGTTAATGGATAAATATAACTGAGTATCGTCAGCATAATAGTGATAGTTTATCCCATGCTGTCTAATGATTTTACCAATTGGGAGCATATATATATACTAAAAAGAATTGGTCCAAGCACTGAACCCTGTGGTACTCCACAAGTAACCCTGGAGTATGAAGAAGATTTGTCATGTACATTTACAAAATGAAATCTATCAGACAGGTAGGATTTAAACAAGCCTGGCGCTGTTCCTTTGATCCCTACAACATGTTCAAGCCTTTCTTCAAGAACATTGTGATCTACTGTGTCAAAAGCAGCACTGAGATCTAACTAGACTAGAACAGACACAAGATTCTTATCTGAGGCCATGAGAATATCATTTGTAACTCTCACTAATGCAGTTTCAGTGCTGTGATACTCTCTAAAACCAGACTGGAATTCCTCAAACAGATCATTAGTGTTTAAATGCTCACATACTTGGATGGCCACTTTTGTCTCAAGGACTTTGGATAAAAATGGAAGGTTAGATATTGGTCTATAATTCATTGAGTCATCTGGATCCAGAGAAGGCTTCTTAAGTGAAGGTTTGATTACAGCAACCTTAAAATCCTGTGGTACATATCCATTTACTAAGGATAGATTGATTATATCTAGAATGGGGCAGAAACCAAAGGAAATACATCTTTAAATAATTTGGTTGGAATTGGATCCAAAATGCAAGTTGAAGGTTTAGATGAAGCTATTTTTGATAACTGAAAGCTCAACTGGATCAAAACGGTTCAAGCACAGATGAGGTTCTACAGTCACCTCTGATGCTGCCTCACTTACTGAGGAAGAAGAAATCGCATTAGGGAGGATGCTAAAGATTTTGTTTCTAATAGAATTAATTTTACTTGTAAAAAATCCCATAAAGTCATTGCTGCTGAGGGCTGAGGGAATAGATGGCTCAGAGCTATGATTCTGTGTAAGTTTAGCAACTGTACTGAAAAGAAATTTAGGATTATGCGTATATTCTCCTCAATTAACGCTGAGAAATAAGCAGTTCTATTTTTTCGAAGCTTATTTTCTTAAAGCACAAGACTATTTTTACAGGATAGGTAGGCCTCCTCATGGTGCGTAGAGCGCCATGTTCTCTCCATTTTTCTAGAGTTTTGTTTTAGAGCTCGTAAATGAGAATTAAACCAGGGAGCCAACTTCCTGTCTCTAATTACCTTCTTTTTTAAAGGGGCAACATCATCTAATGCCACACGTAAAGAGGAATTAACATGATGAACTATAGCATCAATTTGTGAGGGGCTAGAAATGAAAATATTGCCCTCTGCTATGTTCCTCTGAGATGCAGAGCACAGTAAAGATGGAACAGTTGATTTAAAAGATGCAACAGTGTTGTCAGATAGAGACTATAGTGAAATTTACTTTCATGTCTCGAGAACTCAGTTATAAAAAAACTCAAAGGTTATCAGAAAGTGGTCCGAGAGGACTGGACAGGTTTAAATGTCCAGACAGAACTTTGCTCTGAGTCCAGCCCATTGTTGAGCTCAGAAATGTGGTATGACTGCTGTGAGATTATGAAACCCAGTGGACAGGAACTGACTGGATCCAGTTTGATTCTACAACATAAGAAAGGCCCAAAACCCACCTAACCTGTGTCCTCTACAGCTCCATGCTGTGATATTTTCCACCAGAGGACGTTTGTCTTCATGTCATGTGGAGAGCTGCAGATTCCAGTCAGTCTATTGGACATGTCTCTTGTCTATTCAATGCATGTTGATGTAAAACTCATTTAGTGTTCAGGCAGGTTCCAGTTCCTGGTATACATGAGTGTTGGTGGATCTTGCTGTTCCTGAACATTAGAACCATGTTCCTTTCATCTAAACAGACAAATGTGTGGCGAGGCAGTTTATTTGTATGGCACATTTCATACATTGTGCAATTCAAAGTGCTTTCCGAGTCATACTCAGTCAAAGTCTCTACAGCTTTCAGCACAATCACATTCAGGTTAATGTTTACATCTAAACCTTTGTGCTTTTACGTACATTTAATCATTTTATCAGCTGGGATAAGATGTCAGGACAACTCTCCCAGGTACCATCAAGGAAAATGTGGATTAAATTGGGGGAGGGGCTTAACTTATTTTGAACGACTCCATTGCTTCAACCACTGCATTATAGCCATTCGTCTATTAACAATGTTTACAATCCATTTTTCAGATGTTGGAAAAGGGGATCCCTACCAATCCATTCCTCTCCTTATGAGGCATTTTAAGACTTTGTGTGTGGTATTCTCTCTTACACACACACACACACACACACCTGTTATTAACGCTACAATTATTGTTTAGTTATGTTCAGCATTCTTATCCACAGTATCAGGTCAGCAGTCCAGGTCATCTTAGTCTCCAATCTTTGTTTTTATAGCTGGTTCTTGGGTTTCCAGATTTTTTTTTTCTCAGTGGGTTATTTCACCTTTCTCTTCCAACCAAACTTAAGTACAAGAGGGGACGTCTTTTGTCTAAAACATCAGTTCCACTCCCAGAAGTGTGGTTGAGCTTAATTTCTCGGTGGTGAACGGTCCCCCATATCTTTCTGGCAAAGATGCAAACAGTGTTGTTTGTGGTTGTTTTAGTTTCCGATAAGGGCAGGCAGGACAATGAAATTTCCGAGCCTCCATTCAGTCCGTGAAGTAGACACAAACTTCGTCAACAAACCGCCAGTGAGCCGATTTTGAACCCAGACTTCTGACTCCTCATTTGGACCGCCGGTTATCGCTTTTTCGGAACAAAATTGGGTCGAAACAACCACTTACAGGTAGTTTCTAGTTCTGTTTTAGATTAGTGGGTGTCGGGTGGGTTCCGGCTGCCTCGCGTCGAACTGGGTCTGAGCGTGAGTGTTCCTTCTGAGATAATGAAGAGGAACACTTCCATGCGGGCAGATAATCGGCGCGTCTAACAAAAGACCCGCTCTCATCCTTGGTTCTGCTTCTGTCTGATTCTGTAGTATGTGGAGCTGAAGTTTAGTTGTGATATTAGTTGTGAGTTTAATTCGTATTTCTTTCAGAGTGGAAGCGGAGCTAAGCAATGCCGTTCCTCCACGGAAAAGCCTTTATCCGACAGAGACCTCCAGCGGACCTTAGGCCGGATGAAGAAGTGTTTCTCTGTAAAATCACGCATGAGATCTTCAGAAGCTACGAGTAAGTAGCTGCCGGTCTGGTCCGGTTCACCTCCTTATCTGCTTAAGTCGTGTTAAAATGTTGTGTGACTGACATCGAACAAAGTTTATTAAAACCCAACATGGAGCCAACTTTATCCCTAGTTTGAGTTAACTCGTGTTAGCAGTGACGTAGGTGTAGCCGGTAGGAAGTAGGGGAGAGAGGTAGCATGTGCTGGGGGTTAAACTTCCCGAGCCGGGGCAGGTGTAGCGAAAGCGTCGTTAGCTTGAGGAGCTAACGCTGAAGCTGAGCGAGCGGCGCCGCGTAACTTCTGAACGGTGTTATGTTAAAATGTGTTTCCCCGTTGAAAAGTCTCCCCGCAGCTTCTCTCCGTTCTCTCTTTAAAGGAACAATTCAGAACGCTCAAAACGAGTTTCTATAGGACAGTTGTGAATATTTGATTTCTGACCTGTAGTAGACCGCTCTTTGAACAGCCTCAGTTTGGAGAAACCGACCAAGCTAACAGCTAATCCCAGTGAAGACAGTTCCAAAGTAGATTTCTATCTGTTTAAAAACAGCCAATGTCTAAAATGTAAAGACTTTTTTATTTTACATTCTATCAAACATTACATCTTCCATCTCTTCTGGCGGGAATGTTATATTCTGGCTGGATGCTTATCTAATTTCACTCAATTTCTTATGTAAATATCTGTAGAATTCTACGAAAATACTCGTATGTGACAATGAATATATTTACTAAATATTATAAACATAAACTCATATATATATATATATATATATATATATATATATATATATATATATATATATTCTGTTAGCACATCAGTCTGATCAAGTTTCTTTAAACCAAGACTTTTCACAAAGATCGTCTACACAAGAAGGATCTACTACAAAGAGGGACTTCCTGCTTAGCTGTCTACGTTGAGTTGAAAGTTGGAGCTAATGGTATCCCAAAAGAGTGTGGCTAGATCACCATGGTAACAGATGGTTACAATCTCCAGGTTAGAACCACCATATTGGGCTTTCACACCTGGGTTGGACTGTCACAGCCCTGGTAGGTTTTTGTGTTCACATCTAGGTCATCTGTGTGTATTCCGTGCTCAGCTGACCTTCTTTTTTTACCTGCTCTCTGGAGGTCAGCTTTGTGTGCAGCCAAGCCAACACACCCACTACAGGCTGGCTGATGTTTACGCCTACCTACTAGATCAGCCAGCAGTGGCTTCCCGCATGTATGGTTCATTATCGGTCTGCATCAGTGTTGCCAGATGTACGATAATTATCGTATTTGTACCATAATTTTGGGCTCTGTACGATCAATAGTTTCAAAAATCCTCAAATGTACGATAATTTCACATTGCATCTAGTAACACCGTCTTTTGCTGTGGCTTTCCCATGTCAATTACATAATGTTAAACTGTTTTGAAGTCAGATTTCACCTCAGTGCTTACAGGTTAATGCTATTGTGTCTATTACAAAAACTGACTCTGGGTCTCTGTACAATAAATAGCCCAATCACATCGATAGGGCCTACTCTCGCGAGAAACTGTAAGGTTATGTAATGTGGCAGTGGCCCGCCAGTTTTTGCTGTTTGCCTGCGAGCGCGCCAAGTTAAGTCTAAGCTAGGAGGACAGAGCGACGAGACAATGGCTTCTAATCTTAAAAGAAAAACCAGAGAAGGGACGGATGAAGGTAAAGCAAAGCAACACCGGACACAAGTTTATCGTCCTGTGTGGGAGTTATTATCAAATTTATAATGTACGATAATTTGTACTGAAAAACGATGCAGTAGCACGAGAACAGACCGCTGTGAGGAGCACAGAGCAGTCTCGGTGAGAGAGAAGGAAATTGTTTGCCTAAAATCCGAGTCTTCAAAAGTAACACGGTGTCGGTACAAGATCTGCTCGGGGTACAAGATCGGCTCGGGGTCCTTCGACTGCCGATGACGTCAAAGTACGGCAAACCGACTCGGACAAAATACACTACACATCTATACTGTTGGAAAGAATTTAGCAGTTTCGTTATTAAAATAATGTTTCTTAAGACGTAAGTTTGTGTTTATAATGGTATTTGTAAAATAAAACACTATTTTATTCATAATTTTGAACTCCTCTTTGAGCACATCCCTTGAAGAATCATAGGTATTAGCAACACCTGTGAAATTGTATTTGCAGGAAAGAAGTGTGTCCCGTTTATTTAAGTATTTTGTGTTTAGAGTTTTTGACGTCTTGTCCATGAGTGGTTCAGTTATGCTCATAGCTGCTAGCCAAAACTCTGGAGTTAAAAGTTTTCTGGCTTTACTAAAATACCTGTCTGTACTTATTTGATTGATGGTATTTTTACTTTCTATTAGACTCCAGATGTAATCATTTGGCTAGTTTCTAATTCATTATTTGCAATAATGTAATCGGCGATATTAGCATTAGCATTCCTATGGGTTTTTCCATGTATATTAGCATTGCGCTAACCACTCGCTGCCAAATTGCAGACTTTGAGATTAGAAAATCTCCTGGCTTTACTAAAATATCTGTCTGTACTTATTTGATTGATGGTATTTTTACTTTCTATTAGACTCCAAATGTAATCATTTGGCACGTTTCTAATTCATAATTTGTAATAATGTAATCGGCGATATTAGCATTAGCATTCCTATGGGTTTTTCCATGTATATTAGCATTGCGCTAACCACTCGCTGCCAAATTGCAGCCTTTGAGATTAGAAAATCTCCTTTTGTCACATCGCAATTTAATTGCACATGCAATTAATCGTTCAGCCCTAATATACATGCAGCTCTATGCTAAAGGTGTATTTTCAAAGAGGTAATGATGGATTTCTTTGTAAAAGTTGTCCATCTTTGAAATATTTGCCTGGACCAACATAACGTGATAACAACGTAACGTGATTACGTAATTCCGTGAGGTTCATGTTCAGCCAATCAACTACTTAGACGTCATCGGCAGTCGACGGACCCCGAGCCGATCTTGCACCCGAGCAGATCCTGTACCGGCAACGGCTCACAGCTGCCTTTGTTTACTACCTTAAGGAGGACAATGGACGTCTCCATGCATCTTTTGCTCTAAATCAATTTAGGCTGCTTTTAAGCTTGGTTAATGCTTGATGCATTCACTTTCCACTTGGTGATGCGGCTCGCGGATGGAACACGCTTCACAACTTGCAGCGTTTATGGTTCTTGCGGCTTGTCTCTGCAGTGAGCCAATATAAGCAAGGAGCTCTACGGCATGCATCCAACACTACACCATAGTAGAAGTAAAAATGACTGTTTACAACATGGCATTCCAGCATTTTAAACAGTGTCCTCGTCTTTTCCGACAGTGCGAGCTATTTCTCTCCAAGAATTATTAACAACCTGTTGATCACGGCGATCTCTGAGAGCTGAATCATACAAATGTCTGTATTTACGAACCTCTGCCATACTAGTTCTTGCCAGTCCGCCATGTTTTTCTGCGTCCGACCGTCTGCGTGGATAGAAAATTTCCTAGGTGCGCGGTGCGGAAAGTTTGGGCCGTGCAGAGGTGCGGTGGAGGGGCGTGGTTGTTAAAATTACGCAACTTTTCCGCGCGGAGCCGTGCGAACCTCGCGGACGCGTCAAGCATAAACCAAGCTTTAGTCTGCTTCACTGGAGCAATGTGAAGCATCTACAAGATGAAACCTAGTTGATGTGTAAATGTGTGGTTTTGATGTGAGGAGGCTAGGTTTATCTTTTCTTTGTTTGCTTGTGTGTGAGGGAAATTACCAGTGATGCAGGTTTTGTGACAGTCTGCTGCCACTGACAAAACTACATTCACTACTAGGAAGCCTGCTGCTGTTTCTATGCCAAAGCGGTGTGTGTGCATCCATCCATGCATGCACGTGTGTGAATGTACTTCTGTCATTCACTGCTGCAATGCCGCCCTTTCGGTCTGCCAGGCAATCCCTCCATTTGGCTCATTTTTCAAACAGGAAGTGTGGGTGGAGTAAGACTCTGGGATGGGGGTGACTCCCACTTAAAAGGCATAAAGTCAGTTGTGCTGTTGGCAGTTCCATGTGACCACGTGTTAAACTCTGATTTGTTTTATTTCGTCTCCACACAGCGAATTCTTTGAGAGGACCATCTTGTGCAACAGTTTAGTGTGGAGTTGTGGGTTGACGGGACGAGCGGGGCTCACCTACCTGGAGGCGGTGGAGAGCGAACGGCGGGCGAAGGAGAGTTTGCAGAGCTTCCCCCTGACCCTGGTGGTGCCGCTGCTCCACTTGGCTGCTCTGAGTCACCGCTGCCGGCTTTCGGAGCTCTGTGAGGATGTCTACGGCTTTGTGAAAGACCGCTTCTTTCCTGGAGAGACGGTGCATGTTGACGGGCGCAATGGATCCAGGTAGCAGCAGATTCTGACACCTGTCTTTTAACGGCGTCATGAAACATGCCTCAGTGTGTGTGTGTGTGTGTGTGTGTGTGTATAGACATACCTGTGAGATCCTACAGGTGCACTCACCTTATTCAAGTGCTAATGGAGCCCCTGCCTCTAATGGCCACAGCAAACCAGCTGACAGTGACACTATCATCATCAGTGACAGTGACAGCGAGTCAGATGCCTTCCAGGGTTCCCCAGCACACGTCAACGGGTCAGAACCTTTATACCAATGAATCAATGACATTATGATATAGCTGCTAGACATCTGGTGTGTAAACAGAACTCTGTTGGGGTTAAATGTTGAAATAGATCAAAGGGAAGTAGTTAAGCACACATCTCATGGCATAAAGTGGAGGTGGACCACCCACTGACCTATCATTCATTTGACCCAGTGAAGATCCAGATGGGATTAAACATCTTTGATATGAATCGTAATAGTTTAGTGCATGGGCTTATCTTTAATTTCTGTATTTTGAAACAGGCAATTTTTAGTAAAGGTGAACATTTATACTTTTTATGCAAATGGTTTTTTTTTTTTACTTTTTATGAATTCCAAATTTTTTTCCACCAAATTTTTTCTCTTCTTTAGGAAAAAGCAAAAATACCAGAAATGTATAGATACAGAAAAACATCTCAAATTTCTAGAATGTTGACAAGTTTTGTAAAACATCCATAAAATAAACCAAGATAACGAAGCTCCTGTCAGCAGCTCTGATTCTGCTCAGCTACAAAGTCTTTATTGAACTTTTTCTGTTTGCTTTGGTTTGTCAGTAAGAAGAAGAAGCTGAGCCCATCAATGTTTCAGTACACCGTTAGGAGGATCAATGAGGAACACAGCCAGGCGCTGACTGTGAGAGCCAATCAGATTAGGTGAGACGCACACCTGCACTCCAGACAAGGTTCTACTCAGCTGTTTAGATTATTCAGATCAGCTGGTTCTTAACTAGCCCGTTGTCTGGATCTGAATATTGAAGCTTATAAACTGGTAGCCGAGCCTTTGGTGGTTTTAGGGGTGGGGCCGCAGGGGCATGGGCCCCTGCTGAAATCTGATTGGCCGCCTGAAGTGCCCCTGTCCAGTCACTCATCTGTCCTTTGCTTGATGATCAGAATCATCTCCAGGTGTAAACACTAGTGGGGCTAATGATGATCCAAATAGGAATTTCCAGCATAAAATCTTCTGTAAGGATGTGCTTGTCCTTGATGGCCCCAGACTCCACTGGGCAGAGTTAACACCAAATCATTGTTCAGATGCTTATGGACTCTGATCACCTAATTTAAATGAACAGGTTGCAGATCAACTTTAAAATGAGTGTAAATAAAACATCAAAGAAAATCCTGCCTGTTGTTGGTTTAAGAATTGAACAAAACTTAAAACGCGCACCAGTTAAACACCTCCAGTAGAATAACTCTCTCATGGATACAAGGCATTCATTCCTACTACAGATCGTTATTAAACTATGAGTAAGGTTGACCTTTAAAAAGTTTATTATTGGACAATGCATATTTCCCATTTGATAACAGGAAAAACAAATTTTAATGGCGATAACCTGCCAGTGTCTGTTTTCCTGCTACAGAGGAGAAGAAAAGACCAAGATCTTCTAGCAGAGCAGAGGAGAAAGTAAAGAGAAATAGACGGAGAAACTAGTTTGTATGTGGGAACACATTTGTACAGAACACCCAGTGTTCTGGAGTTTAAACTACGACTAACGGGAAACTCCTCTGTTTTACCAGTAACTGTTTGGTTTAAAGGATCTCGCTATCAGCGTTGGCCCCGCCCACTGACTGAGGTTGTCATAAAATAAATTCAGAGCATGAAATAATTATGCAGGATTTTTAGAATGACATCATTTCTAACATAATAAATTGTATATGTAATATTTATGTATTTGGGGTTTTCATTGAATAATTGGTCATTTAAAAACATGCTTTCCTAATTAATTTGTGTCACTTTTGGCTGATATAGGAGCGGGGCTTAAACCTTTTGTTTCCTGCATCTGTTAATCTGATCTGGTTTTTTTTTTCTCCAATCAGTCGAAGAAAATCTGCTCTGTCCAAGGAGAGGCTGAAGCTGCTCTTCAAACAGCACTGTGAGCCTCAGAAGGGTATAATAAAGCTGAAGGTGAGAAAAGCTTGTTACCTGCTGCACAGGTAGGTGCCCCCCGAATCTCACTAGAATAATAACAGTCACCCTTACCTGTCTCAGCCTTCCACTGTGAAGAAGTACCGGCTGACTGAACAGAACTTTTCCCAGTTTTTTCCCGATGAGCCACCTGTGTTTCCCTTCAGCTCTGCCCTTGCTCAGGTAAATACACACCAGCTAATTCTTCGTGTTGCACTGGGTCCTGAAACAAACGGCTATATTAATAGTACTTGTTAAATAATGACAATTTACAGAAATCCACATAAATGGTAAAAGAATGTCCCATGGTCTGGTTCTGGTCTGCGGTCCATTCTAAAATCTGGTTTAATCAATCAATCAGTCAAAGCTTTATTTATATAGCGCCTTCCGCATCCCTGTCGGGTAGCCCAAGGTGCTGAACATTGTACATGACAAAGTTAAATATGGTGAATAAATCGAAAATAAAAGCAGTTCAAATTACAAATTACAAAAAAAAGTAAAACATTCCAGTAGAAGACAAATGGGTAAAACAATGGATAGAGTGAACCAATGAAAACAGGGAAATAAAATCAACATAAAAGAGGGCCAAATTCAAACATGTTCAGGAAACGCCAAGCGGAGGAGGTGGGTTTTTAGGTGTCTCTTAAAGACTGGCAGAGATGGGGACAGCCTAACTGAGGGTGGCAACTGGTTCCAGAGTGACGGTGCTAGGACTGAGAAAGCCTGGTCCCCGCGAGTACGACACCTCGAACGAGGGACAGCGAGCAGGCCTTGGTCAGAGGAGCGCAGAGCGCATGATGGGGAATGTCTGTTCAGGAGTGTGGCCAGATAGGGGGGAGCACCACCCTGGAAGAAATTGTAGACAAAAGACGAGGAGTTTGAAGTGTGAACGATGACAAACCGGAAGCCAGTGCAGGGAGGCCAGAACCGGACTGATGTGGTCCTGTTTCCTGGTCCCAGTCAGGAACCTGGCTGCGCTGTTCTGCACAACCTGTAGGCGACGCAGTGTTGACTGACACAACCCTGCATAGAGAGAGTTGCAGTAATCAAGCCTAGAAATTACAAATGCATGCAGTACCCACTCCAGGTGGGCTCTTGACAGCATGGGCTTGATTTTTGCAAGGCGTCTCAGGTGAAAGAAACTGGACCGGATCACAAAGTTGATGTGAGCATCAAATTTAAGTCCAGCATCAACTTTCACCCCCAAACTGGTGACGACTGGTTTTGAATAGGGAGAAAGAGGGCCAAGATCAACATAACGACCCACATTCCTGCTGTTGGGGTGAAAAACAAGAGCTCTGTCTTTCCCTCATTCAGATGCAGAACGTTGGCCATTAGCCAAGACTTCACCTCGTTAATACAGGACACAAAGGACTGGATGGAGTGACCTTTCTCCTGACACAATGGAGAGTAATCTGGCAATCGTCAGCATAGAGATGGAAAGATAGGCCATGTTTATGAAAGATTGACCCCAGAGGTAGCAGATAAATGGCAAACAAAAGGAGACCAAGGATCGATCCCTGCGGGACCCCCCAGCGGAGCCCGTCCCTTGAAGAAAAAACATCACCCAGTTTAACACAGAATGTCCTGTTGTGGAGATACGATCTAAACCAATCCAGAGCAGACCCTTTGATCCCAACCCATCGTTCCAAGCGATCAAGTAGAATCGCGTGGTCAACTGTGTCGAAGGCTGCCGTCAGGTCTAACAACAGAAGCACCACAGATGTACCCTGATCTAGAGATAGATAGATGTCATTTAGGACCCTCAGTAGAGCAGACTCTGTGCTATGGCCAGACATGAACCCTGATTGGAAAACCTCGAACAGATCAGAGTCAGCTAAATGTGAGACCAGCTGCTGATAAACGACATTCTCAAGCAGTTTTGATGTAAAGGGCAGGGTAGAGATAGGCCTGTAATTTTCGATCACAGAGACATCAGCACCAGGTTTCTTCAGGGTCGGCCGGATAACGGCTGCTTTCAAAGCAGCTGGGACCACACCTGTGCTGAGGCTCCCATTGATAATCTGACCAAGTGAAGGGCCAAGACACGGAAAGGCAGCCTTCCAGAGACAAGGCGGCAGAACCTCAAGTGGAGAGCCAGATGGCTTCTGCCTCGCAACAAGCTTACTCAGCTCAGAATAAGAAACCGTATCGAGGGAGCTCAGGGTGGGTGGTGATGGAGGAACTGGAACAGGGTCAACAGAGTTACCAGAAATGACTGCTCTAATGCCCGACACTTTATCAACAAAGAATCTGTGAAAATCTTCAGAGTTTCCAGCAGCTGTAGGAGACATGGAGCTAGGCTCCTGATACACCAGAACAGAGTTTAGTGTTTTGTAGAGAATCTTGCGATTCTTGGAGTTAGTTTTGATGATGTCTGCAAAATAGGCCGTTCTGGCAGCCCTCACAGCATCCTGTTAAGCAACCAGAGATGCTCTGAACAACTCACGCGAGACCTGTAGGCCATCCTTTTTCCACTTTCTCTCAGAGGCTCTACACGCCTGCCTACAAGTCCTGTGACATCAGAGAGCCAAGGCTCCCTCCTAGGCCTAGACTTGCAAAGCTTGAGAGGGGCAACCACGTCCAGGACCTGATTACAAAGTACATCAAAGTGTTGTGAATAGTGATCAATGTTAGATGGATCTGGGTTAAAGGTCTACACAGTCCACAAACTTTGAAATAGTTTCTGCATCCAGGGCTCTGAACCTAGTAGCTGGAGCTTCACACACAGGGACAGGACGTGGCAACGTAACATCACAGAGTATAGGAGAGTGGTCAGAGAACACAGGAGGCAAAGTCACAAGGTTCATGACAGGGAGACCAAAGCCCCCTTCAGACAGGCCATGAAAAACGGAAATGTTCCAGACTCTGTCCGTAAGACCTTTGTGCCTGAATACAAACATCCGGATAACGTGTTCCGGAATTTATCCGGACGAAGCCCCTAGTAACAGGTCCGGCCTTGTTACGGACAGGGTGGCTGCTTCAGCCTGGTGAGATAAGAGTTCCAGACAAGGGGGAGGGGGAGGAGGAGGGGACCGGGGGATGCTGTGCGCACCTAGATAGCCCGCTGCTGTAGCATGCAGCGAACCACGGCAGCTCGCCTCCTATGGTACCGCCTAGACGCGCGACGGAGCGCTTCACACCGCTTCAGTGATTCCTTTAACCATTGAGCTTCATCATCCAGGTCTCTAATGCGTCTTCGTGTGCGCAAAATTATGCTTAAGCGCCTCGTGATTTTTATCTTGAGAGGCGCTATAGAAATGATATTTTCTTCTTCTTCTTCTTAACATAGGTCCGATTCCCCCACCCCCCACCCCACTCCCCGCCGCCGTCAGACATCTGAAACTTTTCCCTGCTGTGTGATCGCAGCCGTCAGAATGTCTATCTGAAAAGGGCTCAAGAGAGAGAACCAGGTCCAGGGTGTGACCCCTGGCACCCATTGAGTTAGATTGAATGAATCTAGCAAATTCAAAAACCTTTAGCAAGCACATTGTCAGGACAGCAGATATGGATGTTAAAATCACCCAAAAATAGGACATAGTCATATTTTAGGATGCAGTCTGCCACAAAATCACAGAAATCATTAAGGAATTTAGAGTCAGTCTTTGGAGGGCGATAAATCAGCACGACGAGCAGGCGGGGGGAGATTCACAGTTCAAATAAGCACAGAAGAAAATGGCATGGTGGGTGTAAGCTGTTTACAAGGAAAGCTGGATTTAAAAACAACAACCAACCCTCCACCTCTGCCCCGTGATCTGGGGATATTAAAACAGGAGCAGCCAGGTGGTACCAGCTTCAGCAGGGCGCTTGAGTCACCAAACGGGATCCAGGACTCACAGATGCACAGAAACCCCAAGTCATGCTGAATAAAAAAATCCCGAAGAATAAAAGTTTTGTTCAGCACAGACCTGGCATTGACCAGACCAAACCGGGTCTGCGGCGGGGCCGCGGCACCGAGATCGCACACAGGCACCGTCTCCTTTAACTCTGAGCCCGTAACCGAGCGTAGATTCTCCCAGCAAACCCCAGTCTGGCTAGTTCGTCGAGCCGATTGGCCGTGGCACGGTGCCAGCTCACCCTCAGAGCCGGCCAAGTTCACTAGGCAGGGCGCAGAGTAATCCACAAGACATCTCGGAACCACCGGGTCACAAGCTGGGCCGAAACGGACCAGCCGCTTCTTCAGGGATCCAGGAAGTCCAGCCCGACGTCTCACGCGCCGGCTACCTCGCTTTCCCCGTCTTCTCCGATGCTTCCTTCTCGAGCTGGGGCGGACAGAGGGCCGACACATCACGGCTTGGGGGGAGAGAGCACACGGGCAGTCCAGACAGCAGCTCCATCCGTGAGGTTCCCAGCGCTCGCAACCCGCTACATCAACGGGAGGACGAATCCTCAGTAGCGCAGCTCGATCATAAGTCACCAGAGAAGCCACACCATTCAAAAAAGGCATCAGAGACGACAAAAATACATAAAAGCCAATAAAACGTCAATAAAAGCCAATAAAACACGGGGTTCCATGGCATAAAGAGGACGAGCAGCTTGCTGCGTGCACCCGCGCAAGCGCCATCTCAACTAATAATCTGTTAATTTCTGATCAGGTCTTCTAAAGAGTAATCTCTGTTTCCAGGCAAGTCTGCTGTCACCAAATGCACGAGAGAAGCTGAAGCTGCTGCAGAAGAGGGAGGAGATGGCAACTCAGGACAAGGCTCGACTGAAGAAGGAAAAGGAGGAGGCGCTGGAGGCCAAGAGGAGGGAGCGGGAGGACAAGGACAAGTTGAGAGAGGAGCAGAGACGGAGGTTTGAGGAGGAGAGGGAGAGGAAGAAGCAGGAGAAGGAGCTCAGGAAGCTGGAGAAGGAGAAGGTGAGAAATGGACCGTCGGATGAAAAAATGGAATGAATGAATGAAAATAATTAGATGCGTTCATGGATTCCAGGAGCGAGAGAAGCTGAAGGAAGAGAAGAGAAAATATGCTGAAAACCTGAAGCTGAGGAACAAGCCCAGAGAGGACATGGAGTGTGAAGACCTGAAGGTCAGTCAAGGTCAAAACATGACTTTAAATCCGTGGTTATAAAATCAACCAATGAGATCTTGTTAATACAATGATAAAAGATCAGATATTTTACCTGGTTCATGAACTCACCATCACCTAGCACTAATTCAATCTTTAGATGTTCTATATTTTTACTTCCAGAGTAACATATTTCTGGTAATTCTGGTCTTTAGAGAAGAAATGGAACAAGCTTATGACTGCTCCCTCATTCCCACCGGCATTACCGCCATTGGCTGATGTGTATGTTTGTGTTCATTCTGATAGGAACTTCCCACTCCGGTTCCTGTGAGAACCCGTCTTCCTGCAGAGCTCTTCGGAGAAGCTCTGGTGGTGATGGAGTTTCTTCATGCTTTTGGTGATCCCTTTGAGCTCAGGGATGAGTTTCCTGATGGCGTCACTCTGGGTGAGTTCTGCTGGACTCTGCTGCTGTCTGGTCAGGTCCCTGCTTACGTTAAGAACGTTGTAATTGTTAGGTTATTATGCAAATAACCACTGTTCCCCGAAGGAGAGGAATGGGGCACAACGAGGTACTATGGGACATCACGCCCTTGTGTGTCCTAGCTGAAGATACATCTAATCGCGCCTATAAGACAAATGAACGCAATGCTGTGTGGAGGCCCCGCCCTCTACTTATATGCAACGGCATCACTGTCTTTCCTCAGTTCGATAGCCGCTCTTCACCGAGCTGGACTGTCAAATGGGGCAGCCCTGAGTTGTACCTCAATCCTCTCCTTCAGGGAACAGTGGTTATATGCATAACCTAACGTTCCCTTTCAGTGGATTCACCCGGTACAACAAGGTACTTATGGGACTTATCGGAAGGCCCCGTGAGCAGCTGTCAAACCTGGGCTGAGATTGCAACCTAGGATGGCAAGTCAGATCCAGCAGAGAGAACCGAAGGGGCCAAAACATCCAAGTAGTAAAACCTCACAAAGGTGCGGGGTGTAGCCCAGTTTGCAGCTGAGCAAATGTCATCAACTGAAACGTTTAAACAGCGCCCAAGAAGCAGCCACACCTCTAGCAGAGTGTGCCCTGACCACTAGGGGCAGCTGGGAGCCAGTGACGCTGTAACACAGGGAAATGACCTCCACAATCCGATGAGAAGGTCTTTGCTTCGAAAAAGCTTTACCCATGGAGGGTTTTTCCAAACACACAAACAGCTGGTCTGTTTTTCAGATACTCCGAGTGCGATCTATATAAGCCTGCAGAGCACGAACCGGGCACAGACAATGCAGCCTCCTCTGCTCCTCAGAGGCAAAAGGAGGACGACTGAAGCCCGAAAGCTCTATGGTCATGGAACCGTAGTTCAGCGGGATGACCTTGGGCAAATACGCAGCATTCGGATGCAGATTAACCCTAGATCCATCTGATGACATTTTCAGACAGGAAGGGTGAACTGAAAGAGCATGAAGATCCCCCACCCTTTTAGCCGATACAAGGGCTAAGAGCAGAGCTGTCTTGTAAGACAGAAGCTTCATGCTGATCAATTCAATGGGCTCACATGGGGGACCACACAGGGCCTTATCACCAGACTGATGATTTCCGGATACCATCCTCCCCAGCAGCTGGAGAGCTGTAAGGAGTGTCGATTTGGTTCCCAGCTGAATGCGCGCTAAGCAACTACGCAGCAAGGCTATTTGCTGGTTCGAGAGCGCTCTGCTTGACAGAGAGCAAATTTCCAGCCTGAGGAAGGAGAAACTCTGACTCGGAACTAGATAACTTTTTCTGTAGTTCACAGAAATCCCCAGGGCTTGAATGTGAGAAAGAACATCCAGAAGTATGAACTTCTGGATGTGTTTGGGAAGTCACTACTAGAGCCCACTTGTCTAGGTAAGAGAGGATCCGGGTGCCCTCCTCCCTGAGGGGGGATAATGCGGCTTCCACACATTTCGAAAAGGTGCGGGGAGCTAGAGCTAACGGACGGACACAGCTTGTGCAACCGCTCTTCCTCAGGAGAGGAGAAGGGCGGTGGGTAGAAAGCTGTGAGGATAATAGGAGAAAAGGAGCCCACTACCTTAGGCACAAAGGCAGGGTTGGGCTTCAGGAACACCTTCATGTCACCTGGTGCAAACTGGGTGCAGGATGGGTGCACAGAGAGAGCCTGTAAGTCACCAACTCGCTTTGCAGATACCAAAGCCAGGAGTAGCACCACCTTAAGAGACAGGATCTTAAGGTCCAGGCCGTCCATAGGCTCAAATGGAGGCCCGGAGAGGGCCGACAGCACCAAGGACAGTTCCCATGAGGGTACCAGGAGTCGAGACACAGGGAGAAGCCTGCGCGCTCCCCTCATGAAGCTACAGACCAGGGGGTGTTGACCTGCCAATTTCTTCCCAAAACCCAAGTGTCGGGTGGAAATGGCTGCTAGGTACACTTTAATGGTGGAGAAAGCCTTCTTCCCATCCAACAAGTCTTGCAGGAAAGACAGAATGACATTCACAGGGCACTGGAAGGGTGAGACCTCCCTGCCCTGACACCAGGCTTCAAACACCCTCCATTTGCAGTCATATAGGGACCTAGTGGAGGGGGCCCTAGCATTCTGAATGGTTCGAATGACTGCCTGGGGCAGCTCTGCTGACCCTAGCCCGCACCCCTCAGGGGCCAGGCTCACAGGGCCAGCCGTTCTGGATGAGGGTGGAAGATTGAGCCTCCCGCTTGGGACTCCAGGTCCCTGCGAAGCGGCAGTTTCCAAGGTTGGCCCTCCAGGAGCTGGAAAATGTCCGCCACCCAATGCATGGCTGGCCAGTATGGGGCCACCAGAATGAGAGTGTGGTGCTGGGTTCGTACCCTCAGCAAGGTGGGTGGTATCGGGGCCACCGGGGGAAAAGCGTAAAGCAGTCCCCGTGGCCAGTCATGCGTCAGCGCGTCCACGCCGAATGGTACATCTCGGTCGCGCAGGGAGAAGAACAGAGGACACTGAGCATTCTCCTTGGAGGCAAAGAGATCCACTACGGCTGTGCCGAACCGGATCCAAATCTGTTCCAACACTGCTGGATGCAGGCTCCAATCCCCGTACAGGGATGTCCCTCTGGACAACAGATCCGCCCCCCGATTCAGAACACCCGGGACGTGGGTGGCTCTGATTGAGAGGAGATGCCTGCTGCACCATAGGATCAGTCTGCGTGCCAGCGTGTGTAACCGCATGGAGCGCAGCCCCCCCTGGCGGTTTATATAAGCCACAGTCGTGGTGTTGTCTGTTCTCACTAGGACATGATGGCCGGAGAGAAAAGGCAGGAAGCGCCTCAGGGTCAGAAAGACCGCGAGGAGTTCCAGATAATTTATGTGTGTCCCCAGAGCTCTCTGCTCCACACACCCCTGACAGAGCGACCCTCCAGGAGCCCCCCCCCAACCTGACAGGCTTGCATTTGTCGTGACCACTTTCCTCACGAGAACCAACCCCAAAGGCACCCCCTGTGCCAAGAGGGAGGGGTGACGCCAACAGCGGAGCACCGCGACGCACGCTGCAGAGACCGTCACCCTGCGCGCTCTGTGGCGCACTGGAGAGAGACCCAGAGAAGCCACCCAGCGATGAGAATCTCTCATGTGTAGACGGCCGAGTGGTACCACTGAAATAGCCGACGCCATGAGACCCAAAAGCCTGAGGCATAACGCAAACCGCACCGAACTGTGTAGGCGGAAGCGCACCAGGCAGAACGAGAGCGCGTTCACGCGCGGTGCCGAGAGACGGGCCGTGAACGCCCCTGAGTCCAGATTCAGACCTAGAAAGGTTATTTTCTGGGAGGGGAGTAAAGCGCTTTTCTGCCAGTTTATTCTGAAACCCAGACCACACAAGGGAGGAATCACAACCAGCGTGTTTGACGCTGCCTCCTCTCTGGACCGTGCCAGCAGGATCCAGTCGTCTAAGTACGTGGCCAGCCGAATGCCCCTCCCTCTCAGAGGGGCGATCGCCGCCTCCGTACACCTGACAAACACCCTCGGGCTCAGCGAGAGGCCGAATGGGAGCACGGTGTATTCGTAACATACTCCCTGAAAGGCAAACCTCAGAAATTTCCTGTGTGGAGGGTACACGGGAATATGAAAGTATGCGTCCCTCAGGTCGATTGAGGTGAACCAGACGCAAGGAGCGTGAGCATTTTGAATCTGTACTTTCTGAGGCATCGGTTCAGGGCTCTCAGATCCAGGATCAAGCGAATACCGGTCCCTCCCCGTTTCGGGACCAGGAAGTACCTGGAGTAGAAACCGCTCTGATACCGATTGGGAGGCACAATGCATATCGCTCTCTAGCAGGGAGGAGATTTCTCCCTGAAGGATGTGAGCTGATGTCCCCTGGGCGTGGGAGAAAGCTACGCCGGATAATCGAGGAGGAACTGAAGCGAATTGGAGCCTGTAACCTCTCGAAATAGTTCTTATCACCCAAAGTGAAGCAGAAACCGCTGTCCATTTCTCTACGTGAGTGGAGAGTGGTAACACAGCCGTGACACACGGAGCAGCAGCTCCCTCCAGAGGTTGTGGGGCAGTGGTGCTCATGGCAACCACTGCGCATGCGCGGGGGCTTTGTGCTTTGGCGGCCCTGGCGTACGGGGATGACGGATGACCCGTGGCTGGCGGGAAAGTCCGCCAGGGGCCGCCCCCGCCTGGAACCGCTCATGGGCAACATTTTTATTGATTTTTGCTGCGCCCTTGACATTCTGTCTGGATGCGGCAGCGAACTTTTTAATGCTTCTTGAGCGTGACATGTTTGTAAAAAACAACGTCAGTGCTTGTGACGTGTGTTTTGAGCCGGCACAGCCAGTTGCACGTCCTGGCCCCACCCTGAACTGCTCGGGGACTCTGCCGGAGGGGTCCCGTGAGGGGGGAGAAAGCACCATGGCAACATCGAACAGGAGGAGCTGGCGAACGGGGAACTGCCAGCTGCAGCGTCGGGAGGGAAAGAACTCTGTCAGGCTGCTCTCTTCTTCTTTCTCACCTGCTGACCGCCGGGCCGGGTGGGTTGTCCCGGCGGCGGAGCGGCTTGGTTGCCGGACCTCTGAGGCCAAACTGGTCGAGGCGCTGAGCCCGAAGGAGCTGGTTGGACTGCTTGAGGCTTCGGGCGCTTTGGGACCCGGAACTGAGGCTGGGCTCGGGCAGCTGCCTGAGGAAGGGTCGGCCGAGCCGGCAGAGCAGGTGAAGGCATACGGGGAAGGCAGAGTTGAAGGGCTTCATCCTCTTTCTTTTTTGCCTCACACCGTTGCTGCAGTTATGCCAAAGCAGAGCCAAAGATGCCTTCAGGCACGATTGGCATGTCCAAAATGTCCTCCTTCTCTCTATCAGAGAGGTTGGTGAGGTTCAGCCTTCGTGCACGTTCGTGAAGCACCATCATGCCCATAGCTTTAGCCGTGGCCTGGACCGTGCAGCGCTGCACACGCAGGCAGATGTCGGTCAGTACGGTGATATCCTCCCACACCTCCGGATCCGGCTTCGTATTCATGTCCTCACAGAGCTCGGCTTGGTACGCTGAGAGCATGGAGGAGACATTCAAAGCTCGGACTGAGATGACGGCAGCCTTGTACGCCCTCTCGTTCAGCGCCGACTGGAAGCGGTCCGCCTTTGCAGGGAGAGCGGGAGGCCTGGAGGAAGTTGCCGAGAGCCGTGGGTGCAGGTGGGCTGCGACCAGCGTTTCCATCGGCGGCATGCGAAGCATGCCAGCCTTATCCATCCCCTCGAAGTCCAGCGAGGAGGCTCCTTGGACAGGAGACCTGGAGCTGAATGGGTGTTTGTCCCAGGAGGACCTCACTTCTTGGAGGAGCTCCGGGAAGGCGGGCAGGAGAGGCTTTGCCACCCTTGTGGCCTGAGGCAGCTTCTTTCCCTCGTAGCGGGACCTGACAGCTTCAGTGACCACGGTGGGCCAAGGGATGTTGAGCCTGGTCGCAGCGCGTCGACAGACTGACTGCATGTCCAGGTGGGCGGCCGGAGAAACCGCTCCATCCCTCGGAGAGGACAGAAAGCTAGGCATGGAGGCTTGAGCGAGGGGGAGAAAAACGTCGTCATCCTCGTCCTCCTCTGAAATGAGGAGTTCCGAGGTATCCTCGTTGTCTCCGTAGTCCAACTCCCAACACGTCCTCGACGGGGTGGCTCAGACCGGCCAGTTCGAGCTGTGAGCCCCAGCTGTGTTCGACACACGGTTCCGGCTCCAGGAGGGCATGTTCACCGGCGTCCCCAGGCGGTGGCCCAGGGGCCGGCAGGCAAGGGTCCTTCCCCGACAGGCTAGCTTGGCGCGCTAGCCGCCGGCGAAGGCTCTTCAGGGTGAAGCAAGCACAGCTCTCACATGACCCGGGGACTTCCAATGCCAGCTGGGCGTGTTCCAGCCCGAGCAGACCTTGTGCGGGTCTTTGCTCGAGATTTTGTTCCCATGGGTACAGAGGCGAGCTCCTGCGCGGTCGACTCCGCTGGTGGGAGGAGCGGCTTCCATGTGGGCTAACTGGTGTGTTAGCAAGAGAACGAACAGGTGCACTGGAGTGTGAAGCTGCTCGCTATGCCCCAAGCCTATGGTGAAGGTCAGGACAGAAGGACAGTAAGTTAACGTTCGGCGACGGAGAGAGAATATTAGCTGGCTCCGTCTGTGAACAGTTGAGCTAACTTACCTGAGAGATAAGCGACCACCGAAGCGAGAAGAGGTGATTGAATGGTTGGGACGCTTGCTAATTTTAGTAGCAGGGGACGCGTACGTCACGGTCACTGGCCAATCAGGATTGGTGTATTGAGATAAGTGCTTCTGAGGAATCCGCGGAGGGGCGTATCCCATAGTGAGACATCGAAACGAATGTTAAGAAAGAGAACTCTCTTTTCACGTGTCTGATCAAAACCTCAGTTTTGTGAGACCACGTTTTTAAGGATCTCTTAAAAACTCCTCATAGCTTTAGTTTAGCATGGCAGCATTGGCGCCGTGTGTTTTCACAAGGAAAGCTTCCTGATGTCACTCGAGCAGTCATTCTTAATGAAAAACGGTAAACATTCTAGAGCTTGTGCTGCTTTGAGAATGATTTGGTTCTTTTTGACAGATGTGTTCTCTCCACAGAGGTCCTGGAGGAGGCTCTTGTAGGTTCTGATCCCGAGGGTCCACTATGTGAGCTGCTGTTCTTCTTTCTGACTGCAATCTTTCAGGTTCTGGATGAGGAGCAGGAGGAAGTGGCCAAAGATCAGGCTGAAGGTTTCTCACACACACACACACACACACACACACACACACACACACACACACACACAGACAGACAGACAGACAGACAGACAGACAGACAGACAGACAGACAGACAGACAGACAGACAGACAGACAGACAGACAGACAGACAGACAGACAGACAGACAGACAGACAGACAGACAGACAGACAGACAGACAGACAGACAGACAGACAGACAGACAGACAGACAGACAGACAGACAGACAGACAGACAGACAGACAGACAGACAGACAGACAGACAGACAGACAGACAGACAGACAGACAGACAGACAGACAGACAGACAGACAGACAGACAGACAGACAGACAGACAGACAGACAGACAGACAGACAGACAGACAGACAGACAGACAGACAGACAGACAGACAGACAGACAGACAGACAGACAGACAGACAGACAGACAGACAGACAGACAGACAGACAGACAGACAGACAGACAGACAGACAGACAGACAGACAGACAGACAGACAGACAGACAGACAGACAGACAGACAGACAGACAGACAGACAGACAGACAGACAGACAGACAGACAGACAGACAGACAGACAGACAGACAGACAGACAGACAGACAGACAGACAGACAGACAGACAGACAGACAGACAGACAGACAGACAGACAGACAGACAGACAGACAGACAGACAGACAGACAGACAGACAGACAGACAGACAGACAGAACCTGGATTACTGATGTCTGAACCATCACCTCGGACACACGACAGATCCATTAGTCGCAACTGATCGACGTTCCTGAAGTGTTAGCATTTTGCTAATAGCCACAACAGAAACAGGAGAGATGATTAAAGTATTTATTAGTTTTCCCACACTCACCCAGCTGAGTGTCACCTGTTATTGTTATTAAAGCCCAATTTGCACAAGTTTTTGTCTACCTGTTTCCTTGGAGGCTTCCTTTCACCCTCCTGATTGTTTTCCTCTGAATCTTTTTAAAGAAGGCTTTGATGCCATGGGCTCTTAAATTGGTAGAACAGCTCCCATCTACTCCAGTCATCTAAGGAGTGTGAGCTAGCAGAGCGACGAAACACTCAAGACCATCCAGACTTCCATCACTGACCTGCTGAGCATCTTCTACCCTAGCACCTACCCTGCTCTTGCTTTCCCCTGCCCTACTGCCCTCTTGTGCACTCCCCCATTTCCCACTCTGTACCTCCTGTCACCTTGGTACAGTGTTCTTCCCTATGAGTAGTTTATTGCTAGGCTAGCTGCTTTGTCACTTTGGATGAAAGCATCAGCCGAATTCATAAACACAATGTATAAATCACAAATATAATCACTTTGTAACTTAAATGCTTTCATTAGTTTTAACATTACTGACTGGCTAAATGTGTTTTCATATTGTGGTCAGCTGTTAGAACATGAAGGTAATCAGGTTTTTATTATTATTATTTTTTTTGCCTGCAGACTTGCGAGAGGCTCTGGACGACTACTCGGATCCTACCCAGTCAGCTCTGAGCGCTGTGGCCTCACTGGCTGCTGCCTGGCCTCAGCTGCATCAGGGTTCCAGTCTGAAGCAACTGGACCTGGACAGCTGCACACTCTCAGAAATTCTGCGCCTGCACATCCTGGGTTCTGGTGCTTATTGTAACCATGGCAACGCCAAGTTTCGCTACCAGAAGCAGGGAGCCTTTACACTGATGGACGATCCCTGTGTAAACCTGCAGTTTTCTGAGCCTGCTCTCCTGAAGAAGCTGTCATGCACACCGGTGTATGACCTCAGCCCAGGTTAGACTGTTGGGGTGTGTGCTGCTATCAAGGTTTTTCAGACTGAAGTTTAAAAACTATCATGATGATTTTTGTGTACAGAAGAAAAGCTGAAGATCCTCCTGGCGTTGCTGGGAAAACTGTTAACATTAGCTCCTAGCAGAGATCTGATTGAAGACTCACTGGAGGAACAGAAAGCAGCAAGACAGGAGCTGAGGGAGGTCAGAGCAGAACAACATCGCAGAGACCGGGAGGAGGCCGCACACAGGTACACGGCACCATGCCAGGACAACCAGTGTTTCCAGTTAGAACCAGAAGGGTGTTTCAGTAAACCAGTGTGTTAACACCTGCTGCTTTTCGGGCCGGGTCAGAACCACCTGAGACGTATTCTTTTCTTGAATGAAGACATTTTATTGGACCCCCCACGCACTCCACTTCACTTGATCAAACTTAAAGTCAAGTAAAAAATAAAAAAACAAGCACAAAACAAGTTCCAAGGCAACGCTGAAACAAAGCCCAAAATTAAATCCACGAATAGAAAATACAGTTAAAGAAAAAATTATAAAAAGTTCATCAGAGACATCATTCAAATATGACTTAAATGATGACCAAACCACATTGAATCAGGTGTGTGTGAGACATTGCCTCCCTGATCCACTGACCATAAGCTGGTGGAAGTGTGTCCTTCCACTTATACCGTACCGACAATATACCGTATTGACCTGATTATAGGATTACCTCGATTATAAAACGAGCCCCTTTTCCAAGACTCATTTCAGAAAAAAACAAAAAAAATTCCTTTTTAAATAAACTGTTTTTATTGAAAATTTGAGAACAAATACTGAGCAAAAATACTATTTTATTGCAAACTATCAGAACTTTGCTCACAAATCAAAGGTCAAATGAGGCTTTTATTCAGACGCCCTCTGCCTCGCTGTACTTAATTCTCGCGCTGCTGTGGTCCTGGTGTACCATCAGATCACTACACCTGCTGACTCCTCCCAGAATGCCATCCTCACTGCCATCCATGCATGCAATGTTTAACGCCTCTGCTGAATTGACTGCAATCATCTTAAAATTTGCATAAATCTGCCTTATAGCTTGTTAACTTGCCCCACTTTCAGTCCACTCTGCTACGGATCCCGTCTCCACTTTTTTCTTCTGCGAACATGCAGTCTGGCGCCCTCTGCTGTTATGGGAGTGTAATGGTTAGACCCCGATTATAAGACGACCCCACATTTTAAAATTATTGTCAATGGAAAAAACCTCGTCTTATATTCAGGTCAATACAGTAATTATTTTAGCCAGCACGTAGCAGAAGGCTATCATGTCCACTCCTGGGCTTCCGTAGTTCAGAGCAAGGTCAGCCACGCATTTTTCATAAAACGCACATTATTCTGGGCTTCCTTGGCTGAAGGGGTTTCAATCTCTTAATTTGGTTTGTTGTTGACTAAAGACACTTCTTTCAACCCGACCAAAGACGAATTAACATTAGCTGATCAAACATTGCGACAAACCGACAATATCCAGACGACATTACCAGCAGGTGTGCTCTCATGTCAATTTTAGGATTCGTCTTCGGAAGGAGGAGAAGTTGAGGGAGCAGGAGCAGCGGATGAGGGACAAATTAAAGGAGCAGGAGGAAAAGGAGATCCACATAAATGGGTAGGAAGAGCGTTTTGGCTAAGAGGAGGAGGAAGAGCTCTTCTTCACTTTGCATTTAGACGACTTCTAAATGTCCTAAAAAAACAGATAAAATCCTTGTGTTGGGATGAAATTAACTGTGTTGTCTCTGTAGTGGAACACCTGCAGAACGTCCTTCTGAGAAAACTGAAGAAAACTCATCATTTAGAAAGACAATGGAAGGTAAAACTGTACAGAGCCCAGCATGTTCCCACCTACTCCCGTTTATTCTCCCAATTCCATTCGCTCCCGCAGTCCATCTCTGCATGGTCCCATCCCCACCTCCACCTGTAGACTCAGTAATTAATTAAGGAAATGATGGATTTTTTGATCATATATCAGATTTTTATACCATCCTACCGATAATCTTGGTACCCGCAGCAGCCTTTCAACTGCCCTCTGTCTTGAGGAAGGATCCTAAGCTCAAAACAGGCCTCTGTCTAGCTGCAGCCTCTGTTCAACCAGACGTTTGTAGCAAAATGTTTTTTAGGGATGGGCCAATACCAATTTGTCCAAAACTAGTACAATTCCTTAGAGCTGAGTACTCATCAATGCTGGGTGGTAGGTAATGTACCGTACTTTGAGGCTGGCTTAAGCTCAAGCAGAATATTTAAAAGTTCGACTGTTTTCTGCCTGACGGCAACAGTCACACTCTTCTGTGCCAAAAGCCTGCATTAACCACCAACTTGAGGGCGTGTGAGACACAGAAGGTTTCTCATGTTTTCTGCATTTTAACAGCACAACGTGGGTGGAACTTTAAGGGATTCCTCACGTCTGAAGTGTTCATTAAACTCACCTGCAGTTGGATATTGTCCAACACCTGAAACCATTTAGCGTGCAGAAGGAGTCTTTGCAGAGTAAAATCATTGTCGACCCACCTTGCACTTGAGCGAGCACAGATGCTGTTCCTCCACATGTGTTGTGAAGCTGAAGGCTGAAAAGTCTTCCATCAGTCTGTGGATGTGCCGCTTAACAAGGTCACGTGGTATGGGCAGCATCGTGTTCGTGGTGTGGTGGCACCCTCTACCATGATACACCGTGGTGTCCAAACCCAACTCAGCTGTAGCTAAACACTGTGAAGATTAAAGATTTAAATGGTTAAAAAGTTATCCGATTGTTGGGTGTTATTCTGTCCTGTTTAACTTTCTAGTTTTACATCAAGTCCAGGTCAGAATAACTGAATCAAACATTAAATTATTTTTACTAACTGGATTTTTTTTCTGTTGTACGTAACTGTGACTCGGGTCATGAATGGTAAGTGGCCTGTATTTGTATTTGGGTCACTGTGAGTCGAAGTCTGTTTGAAACCAGTATTGGTTCATCCCTAATTTCAAGCTAAGAAAATTCATAAAGATGTTTCTTTTTTAAATGTGTGCTTCTTTTGTTTCTCCTTTTTGGGTTGAAGGTAATCAGAAAGAAAAATGTATGAATTCTGACATCAAAAACCTGTCGGGCCCTCCTCCCAGCCTGGGTCCAGAGGAGCTGGAGAAGGAGCAGGAGAAGGTCAGATGCAACTCCATTACAAATCTCTAAGCATATCTCACTTGTTACAACAAGCAAAGATCTGCAGTAACTTGGTGTAGTATTATGTTCACAGCTGAAATTACCTGAAGGATGTAATTTTCTTCCTGCTGGCGATCAGCAGCTGCGCCTGATGGCGTGACATATATGATGACATTTCAGCAACATGACAGGAGTCTGTCATTATTAGATTTTTAGTTCTCTTCCTGATGCTGGCAGGTTCGAGAGTTGCAGGAGCGCATTCAGAAAGCAGCAGCCTGTACCAGCCTGCTGCCTTTGGGTCGAGACCGAATGTACCGGAGATACTGGATCCTGCCATCTGCCTCTGCACTGTTTGTGGAAGAGGACTTTTTCGGCCTGACAGAGGACATGCTGAAACCGTGTCTAAAACTCGCAAAGGATGCTGTCATTATCATTGATGATGATGATGATGATGATGATGAGGAGGAAGGATTTAAGAATGAACCTTCTGGTGAAAGGTGGGTCACACACAGCCTGAACTGATCAAGTCAAAGAAAATCATCAATTATCGTTAGAAAGCACTCTCAATGTATTTTTTTATTTTTTATCACCTCACAGCACTGGATCAAGCCCGGCTCAGCTTTGCAGAAGTGTCCCGGTTGAACAGCCCAACCAGTGGTTCTTCTACAGCTCAGTGGATGAACTGGATCAGTTGATTGAGGCCTTGAACCCTCGGGGCCACAGAGAAAGCAGTCTGAGGGAGGCCTTACTGCAGGACAGGGACAGGCTCCAGCAAATGCTGCAGAACTGTGACTCAAAAAAGTACAGGTTCTCAGGTACGCTTACATGTTTACCATTACAGTACCAGTTTCACAGGTTACCGGTACGCTAGCTGGTCTGCGTTTACACTAGCAGCTCTACTGGAACACTAGCAGGTCGACAAGAACACTAGCAGGTCTACAAGAACACTAGCAGGTTCTCAGGTACGCTTACATGTTTACCATTACAGTACCAGTTTCACAGGTAAATTTGCAGTTTTACCAGTACGCTAGCTGGTCTGCGTTTACACTAGCAGCTCTACTGGAACACTAGCAGGTCTGTTGGTACACTAGCAGGTCCATTGGTACACTAGCAGGTCTACAGGAACACTAGCAGGTTCTCAGGTACACCTCCTTGTTTACCATTACGTACCAGTTTCACAGGTAAATTGGCACGTTTACAGGAACACTAGCCAGTAAATGTTTACACTAGTAGGTCTACAAGTACACTAGCAGATTTACAGGTGCACTAGCAGGTTTACAGGTGCACTAGCAGGTTTACAGGTGCACTAGCAGGTTTACAGGTGCACTAGCAGGTTTACAGGTGCACTAGCAGGTTTACAGGAACACTAGCACAGGGATTAAATTTCTCTGTCGTGGCGACGGAAATCTGTCAGTTGGAATAATCAGAAAAAAGTTCCGTCAAAATCTCTTCTCGCGCTCGCTTGGGTTTAGTAGTGTCCCCCCCCACCCCCACCCCTGTTGCTAATTGAAAACGTGCACCGGTGTTGTTGAAACGCGTTTCTCCACCGTTCTGCACCACCCAAGCTGCAAAAAACGTGTGCGCTCATTGCTCGCTCCCACGGTGCGCACAAACACAAACTGCGCGCACCAGGCGCTGGGATTCTAACAGAGCCAATAAAGCTCTGAAATCACAATGAGAGTTAACGTGACGAGCAGAACCAGGACCCAAATTCCTGGTGGGCCGATCTGAGATCGGTGTTTTTATTCATCTCTTTGTTTTTTTCGGGCCGGTGTTCAGTCATGACTCTCTGCTGATCACCTGTCAGTGGAACAGGTGAGCTGCTGAACAAGCGTTAGCTCCTAGAAACACTTTCTATGCCCAGGCTAGTGACCTGTTATTTGTAATTTTATAATTAATATTAAGTGAATGCACTAAACCCAAAAATGATAGAAGATTAGATTAAATATTATTAATCATATTACTATCAAATGTACATAAGTATAACCGATAATAACTAATCTTAATGAAAAAATTATAGTAATTTTTTTTTAATATTGATTATATTTCATTTCTAAGGTTTGGATGTCTGTGAACATTACAGAATATTCAGATTGGTGTAAAGAGCATGATATTAACAGGTCATGATCTAAAGCTGCCCTGGGTCTAAAACCCTGCAGATATATTTAGTTTCTATAAACACCAACAACAAATAAATAACAGCAGCTGGATTCTACTTTGTTCCTTAAATTGTTCTGCAGCTCACACGTTCAACATGAAGCTCTGCCAGCTGATTGGTTCTTTTGGTAACTAGTGCAATTCTGGTACTGAGCAGCATGGATGCATCAGTGGATTTCACTGTAGTCTTTGTTCATAATGGTTTAAGAAAGGACAGGAAAACTTTGTTAACTCAAATATATCACTATAATGAACATGTATAGATACATTATCATACATAGCTACCAGCCTGTAACTCTACTTTTCCCCCCAAAAATGCACCAGACTGATGTATTTAAATATAAATGTCAATCATTTTTTTCCGGGGGGCATGCCGCAGGACCCCCCTAGAGTACTTTAATACTTATCATCTTTTTTACCTCAGAGAAATCTCAACACCCACACTTTTAAACACTGTGTATGTGAACGGGTTATTCAACATTTTTTAGAAACAAGAATACTGACCTTAAAACCAATCAAAACCTGAAGAGTGGCTGCGTGTAAACAATGTGAGCCCCCCCCACCCCCAATAATTTTTAGTCAGATGATAATTTTTTGCTTCAATCTCTGCACTAGCAGGTTCTCAGGTACACCTACATGTTTACCATTACAGTACCAGTTTTGCAGGTAAATTGGCAGGTTTACAGGAACACCAGCCAGTTTGCGTTTACACTAGTAGGTCTACAAGTACACTAGCAGGTTTAAAGGTGCACTAGCAGGTCTACTGGTACTCTGGCAGGTCTATTTGTACACTAGCAGGTCTACAAGAACTCAAGCAGGTCTATTGGTACACTAGCAGGTCTACAGGAACACTAGCAGGTCTATTGGTACACTAGCAGATCTACAGGAACACTAGTAGGTCTATTGGTACACTAGCAGGTCTACAGGAACACTTGTAGGTCTATTGGTACACTAGCAGGTCTACAGGAACACTAGTAGGTCTATTGGTACACTAGCAGGTCTACAGGAGCACTAGCAGGTCTATTGGTACACTAGCAGATCTACAGGAACACTAGTAGGTCTATTGGTACACTAGCAGGTCTACAGGAACACTAGTAGGTCTATTGGTACACTAGCAGGTCTACAGGAACACTAGTAGGTCTATTGGTACACTAGCAGGTCTACAGGAACACTAGTAGGTCTATTGGTACACTAGCAGGTCTACAGGAACACTAGTAGGTCTATTGGTACACTAGCAGGTCTACAGGAACACTAGTAGGTCTACAGGAACACTAGCAGGTCTATTGGTACACTAGCAGATCTACAGGAACACTAGTAGGTCTATTGGTACACTAGCAGATCTACAGGAACACTAGTAGGTCTATTGGTACACTAGCAGGTCTACAGGAACACTAGTAGGTCTATTGGTACACTAGCAGGTCTACAGGAACACTAGTAGGTCTATTGGTACACTAGCAGGTCTACAGGAACACTAGTAGGTCTACTGGTACACTAACAGGTCTAATGGTACACTAGCAGGTCTACAGGAACACTAGTAGGTCTACTGGTACACTAACAGGTCTAATGGTACACTAGCAGGTCTACAGGAACACTAGTAGGTCTACTGGTACACTAACAGGTCTAATGGTACACTAGCAGGTTCTCATGTACTCTTACATGTTTACCAACTAGTTTCACAGGTAAATTAGCAGGTTTACAGGTGCACTAGCAGGTCTACAGGTACGCTAGCAGGTTTATGGTTTCACTAAGTTAAAACACCAGTTAAAATCACATTACTCATATAACCCACCTGTAGACAAAAATATAAATAAAGTTTTAGATTTTTTTTTAACCAGGTAAAACTTCCAGCTTGTCTTTTGTCTATAGATGATTCTACGTTTGAACAAACGGTCCCACAATCCGCTGTCACTGCTGACACTCTGATGGAAGTTAGACTGAAGGACCTGCTTCTTGACATGGAGGACCGAATCCACCAGGGATCCCTGGGAACACTCAAAGTACATAAACCATGCCACAACATCGGGTTAGCAGCATTAGACTCTGCTGTTGGCTGCTCTCAACTTTTATATTTTCTGGCATTAGGTGATGGATAGACAGGTGTGGCGCTCAGCTCTGGAAGCAGGAAACTATCAGCTGCTCTGCTTTGATGACAAAGATGGTGTCAGGATGAAAAACCAGGCGGAGGCCGTGGAAGTGGAATCTTCCCGGCTACGAGACAGGTATGGTCCGGCAGAGATTCATCCCCTCTGGTTGAACAGGTAAATGACAGGTGTGTGCTTGTCTCAGGCTACAGGAGCTGAAGTCTACCTCTGGGATCAGTGGCAGTGGAACTCCTCAGGTTGTCAGCACCTCAGTACAAATCCTGGCTCAGGCCCTTAGTCACATTGAGCAAGGCATTGACAGGCGCTTCCTCAAACCTCCACTTGGTATGTCTCTTTTGACCTGATGCAGATTTAATGAAATGTTTCACCTGTTTATACAAACAGTAGATTAGATGCATCCAGTGAGAGTATAGTGGAGCCATTATTCACATATTCACGTTTTCTTTTTTATTAAAGTTTTTATCAGTACTTGTGCAGAAGAACAAAGGCGTGCACATAAACCAGAGCACAAGGATGTCTGCCTTAAAGGCAGAACGGGAGGTCATTAAGTGTGGATGTAGACAGTTTATTTTAATAGTGAGGTTAAAACACAGGAAAGTTGAAACAAGTAGCAGTTGTCAAACGATGTTTGCTTTTGTTTTCAAACACTGTGTTTAACGCTGACACTGTTTGGTTGTTTTTGCAGGTGATGAAGACTCAAAGAAGGATCAGAAGATCAAGAAAAACAAAAAGAAAGAAGATGACCAGGCTAGTGATGGTATGACTTTAAATAAATATTCTCACCACAGAAAGAAAAGTGACACTAAATGTCTTTAGAAGACCTACAGAGACCTGGTGATTCTGTTTAACTCCAGACTCTCTCTCCCTCTCTGGCAGATGGTGGTAGTGACAGCGGTCGGGTCATAAAAACTGTGTTGGAGCGATGGAGGGAGTCTCTGCAGTCCTGCTCCAGTCTGTCCCAGGTCATAGTCAGAACATTTTAGCTGTTGGTTCTACTGTGTCAGCTCTTCAGAACTCGCACTGATCTTGTTGGTGTATCTGTGCAGGTCTTTGTTCACCTGTCCAGCCTGGAACGAAGCATCCTCTGGTCTCGTTCAATCCTCAACGCCCGCTGTCGGATCTGCAGGCGCAAAGGAGATGCAGACAACATGCTGCTGTGTGACGGCTGTGAGCGAGGACACCACACCCACTGCCTAAGGCCCCAGCTAAAGGTACGATGTCCAGCCGGATGTTCAGTTAGAGGCAGGGATGTTAGAAAATAACGATAAGCACAAGCATCGCAATATTTCTTGTTATGATACTGATTCAATAATTAAAGAGTTCCTTCACTCATTTTTAATACTTCTGCAGTGGTGTCAGCCAGAGGAGAAAGTAGATTCAGACGACAGGATATGGGTCTTTTTTCCTGATGTTTGGACATCTCGCCTCTGATTGGCCAACAGCAATGTGACTACTACTGACCCTAGCCCACAATCAGTTGGAAAGAAAAAAAACAAAGATGATCACAAACACAATTCCTTGTTCCTTGATTGGTCAGTTGATGCAACATGATCATGCTTCACGCTTCATTCCCTTTCCTAATGTCTGGAAGGACGGTCTGGAGCGCTAACCTGCAGGGAACATCGATGACAGAGTTCTACAGAAAGTAGCCAAGGGTCATCAGAAACGTTTCTAGGTGCTTTAGGTGGGAAAAGTCAAGAAGGGGGTCTGAAAAGTGGTTCGAAACGGGTAAACAAAGTTTCTAAGCTGGCAACACTGTGTGGAAGGTGCGCTCGATTTGCAACTCGGAGCAGCGCGTGAATGAACCGCGAGGGGGGGGGGGAGACAAATAATCGGCTCTTTTTGTTTGTTCGATTAATCAAGCAGCCCTACTAAATTATCTAAAGCTTTACTTCAAATCTGCCATATTTTGACATTTTGAGAGAGAGGTGAAGTAGCTGAAGATTTTTCTGTATAAGGTGAGTATGGTATGTAAAGGTTGTGTCATTAAAAGTTTGAAAACCAATACTGATATTTTCCTATATTACATTTTATTGCTGATATTAATGGTAGAGCAATAATATCAGTCATCCCTAATACTCTGAAATATCACAATATTCTGTTCTGGCGACATCGTCCAGCCCTACCTGTGACTGATTCACAGAAAGACGTTCCTGGGAGGGTCTCAGTGGATCAAATTCAGGAAAAACCTGTTAGACGAATGAGTTCACTTCCTGTTTCAGGCTGTTCCAGATGGTGACTGGTTCTGTCCAGACTGTCGGCCCAAGCAGAGATCCAGCCGCATTCCATCCCGACAGCGATCCTCCATCGATGAAGACGAGGGTGAAGATACTGATGAGGAGGAAGAGTCTGAGGTGGATGCGGAATCAGAAGAGGAGGAAGAAGAGGAGGAGGAGGAGGAAGAAGAGTCTGTTGTGAAGTAGGTGTAAAAGCTCATGTTTGTAGTCTAAAGCCGGGCGTACACTGTGCGACTTTTTCACTCGCAGCGTTCAGCTTCAGCTCAAACTGTACGACTTCCTCGCAGGGCAGATCTCACGAGTCATGTGCTCACACTGCACGTCTGGTAGCAACACGTCGGCCCTAAAAATAGCAGTTTTTACTCAACATGTTAGACTTTTTTGTCTTGTTTTGCCTGTTGTCCTTCGGGAGTGCTGCAGGAGGACACACAGGGATTTATGGGGGTTGGATGAGGAAACGAAATAAAGAAAGTAAATCTGTGTTTTGTGATCAGTTTAATTTGACACGAACACGACAAACACGCTTTCTTGACAATCTTTGTGAGTAAAAAAACATGTAGAAATAAAAACGAACAACGTGTGTTATTAGGGAAGTAGCGGACGAGCGGCGTTGATGCAGGATTACGCATGCGCCGTGAGCGGTTCTGATACTTTTTGGGTCGCAGCTGCTCGCAGCGCCGCTTCAACAGTGCGATACCCTCACGAGGGACGAGCGAAATATTAAACACGCCAGAAGTCCGTGCGACCTCACGACTGCTGATCGGTAGCTGGTCACGTGGTGTTAATCGCCTCTCGTAACCCCCGTACACTACACGACCGCTAGGTGCAAAACTCGCCCCGATCTCGTGGATTCTCGCATGAGTGGAAAATCGGCTCAAAAAAGTGAAAAAGTCGCACAGTGTACGCCCGGCTTAATACAACAATGAATTCAAAACGCCCCCTTCAACTGTTTCCCTCTGCAGCACCAAGAAGAGCCAGGCTCAACCCCCCAAGAGCAAGACATCATCTAAAGGGCAGCATGCCCGGGTTAGCAATAGCACAGCCACATCAGGGAAGAACACCTCATCTTCCAGGTGAGTCTGCTAAATCCTAAAGCTGGATCACTGTTGTCCTAAAAAGGTGTACTGACTCTGTTTATTCACAGATCCTCGGGGAAGAAAGCCTCGCCTCCAACATCAAAGTCAAACACCATCGCCCACGGCAAAGCGCCGTCTCGCTCAGGGAGTCGCAGCAATGCCCGTCTGAGTCACGAGATTCTGGCACCGAAGAGCAACGCAAAAACCTCAACGACGCAAAAACCTGGTTCAGGAGAGTCTAACAAGAGACAGTCAGCAGGTATAAAAGTCAAAGGGTCCAAAAGGCTTCAACCCGCCTGTTCTGTTGTTGCTGTAGATGTTTGTCGTTCAGCAGAAAAAACGTCTTGTGGGTTGTTTCTATAAAACCTTCATAACTGTTAAACCTAACATGAATTTATATTTGATCCTGATTTGCTAAGAAGTCCATCTAAAGATCTGATGAAACCCACTAACTTCTGCTGGATAACCCCGACTTCCCCTCTTCTTACCACTCCAGATTCTGCTCTTCCAAACCCGTCCAGGATCATCTACTCACCGTCTTCATCCTCCTCCTCCAGCCGTCGTTCCTCTCGCAGGAGCCAGGGCGTTCATGAGCTTTCAGCCTGTGAGCTGCTGACTGTTGATCTGGTCAGACACGAAGACAGCTGGCCCTTCATGAAGCTGGTGTCCAGGACTCAGGTAGCAAACATGTGACCCCCCTGGGATAAATGATTAGGGTCAGACAGAAATTACCTGGCGTCCAAATAAATCAGGAACCGTTAAGTGATAAATCTCTTAAGGTGGAGAAATGGGGAAACCCGTACAGTCGATGGTGATTTTTTTCTAAATGACAGATAAAAGTAAAGGGATCACTCCCAAATGGAAAGTTAGTTTGTTAGATCCCAGAGAAGTCTGAAAGGTCCAGCTCAAGAAGGCATCGCAGTGTTCTTCAGAGCTACTGGAGATGACTAGAATAGTGTTGCATAAGCTAGAGAGCAAACTCCAGCAGAACAATGCAAGAGGTGTGTGTTCAGGGATGAAGAACATCACTGGCCTCAAGCAGAAGGAGGATCTAGAAGGAGGATCTGACAGATGACATCTGGATAAAGACACAGAACTGAACTTGTTCTTTAATCGATCCTGCTCATCCTGTACAGACCTCCCACGTTCCCTGTCACATCTCAGCTGTTTTATCTTCCATCTCAGAGGTCCTGCTGCTGCTTTATCATTGTTGTCTATCACATCAGAAGATGCTGGTGCTCCTTTCACCTCCACCTCCCGTGTCGATCCCTAGCAGTGAAGAGGCAGCCGGAGAGACTAAACCGGAACAAGGCTGCAGGTCCAGATGGTGACAGTTCCAGATTCCTCGTGGTCAATGCAGACCAGCTGAGTGGGATTCTGAAACAATTCGTCAACCCTAGCCTGACCCAGAAAATTCCAGTGCTGTGAAGACATCCTGCCTTGCTCCATTACCTAAGAGATCTCATCTATGTGTCCTTGACAACCACAGATCTGTAGCCTTAACGTCACACATCATGAAAGTCCTCCAGAGACGGCTGTTTGCCCACCTGAAAGAGCAAACGTGCACCTTTCAGTACTATCCTCAGTTTGAGACGAAGACCCCCTCACATTCCTGGACCAAACAGGCTGCTCTGTGAGGACCATGTTCTTTGGTTCCTCCAGTGTCAGAAGCTCTAGAACATACAAGTGGACGCCTTCACAGCCACCTGAGTCTGTGAGACTGAGGGATCGAGCGCAACGGCTAAATACATATAGCGGAAACCCTGAAAGCATCTAATTTCCCTTTAGGACTAATCATATTTTAATTTGTCTAATTTCTTCTTTCAGTTCAACCTTCACCATGTTTTATCTTCATAAGGTTTCACCCGTGTCTCTGTTCAGGTTCCTGATTACTACGACATCATCAAGAAGCCCATCGCTCTGAGCACCATCAGAGAGAAGATCAACAACTGTGAATATCAGACTGCAGGTGAGAGACGCTTCATCAGCAGCTCGGGGTTTTGTTATATAACTCACAAAGTAAAACAAGTTTTTTAATTGCATTTTTTAAATAAATAATGAAAATGAGTTATTAACACACTGTAGTAGATATTAGACCTACGTGGTACAATCAATCAATCAAATTTTATGTGTATAGCACCTTCCACTGCCCTTGCATTGAACATAACATAGAAACAACAAAAGAGCAAAGAGACCACAATTCTAAAAATTCATATTACATAAAAGCCAAACGATAAAATAAGTAAGTCTTCAAACGACTCTTAAAGACCTGCAGTGATGGGGACTGTTTGACAAGTGGAAGCTCGTTCCATAGTGTTGGAGCTAGGACAGAAAAGGCCCCATCACCTCGTTTTTTCAGCCTTGTTCTTGGGACGATGAGCAAATCTTGGTTAGCTGAGCGAAGAGAGCGTGTAGGGGCATGCATCTGAAGCAGCCCAGCCAGATGTGGTGGGGAACCACCGTTGATGGACCGAAAGACAAACAAGACAAAAAACTTTGCCCGGCAGTCCACAGGAAGCCAATGTAGGGAATCCAGAACAGGAGTAATGTGTGTTGTTTTGTTCGAGCCTGTCAGAATGTTAGCTGTTAAAACAAAATCTACATCATGTGACCTAATCTGACCAGTGGTCATGTTTCACTCTGCTCAATTTAGACCTGTTGATTTGTTGTTTTTCAGGAAAAGGTGGATTGATTATTATTATTATTATTAATAAATTGTTTATTTAATGCTTTTACTACTGAGGTTTGAAAATTATTTTTTTTTTCATGTCTATGAATTCTTACTAATCTGAAATAGTTAAGAAAATTTTAAAATGCACTCAAAATAGTCTCACTGGGTTAATTTAATTTAACATTCGCACTCTGGTAAGGAATACTTCTAACTCATCAATAGGGGTGTGCATTAGCAAATCTGGTGATGCATAATGTACATCACAATACAGGTGAGATGATACGATGTATTGTGATAAAAGCCAGATGATAGGGATGCATGTTTACCGGCATTTCTTTAACCGGCTATGTTCTTTAACCAGCCGGTTAACCGGAAACCAACCGGTATGAACTGCTGCCACCTAGCATCGGAGTGTGAATTGCACCACACAAAAAGAAATACATTAAATGTAAATTGTAAATAAAAACATGGATACTCTGCTTTTAAATATCAGTCAGTTTATAATAACGCAGAATACCACGATTTCCAGCACATCAATATTTTCTTACATGCCTAACCATCAACCAGGCCAGAGAATCAATGGCAAATAGTTGAGTCACTGAAAGTCCTTTCTTCTGCTCGAGTCATGCCGGTGCACACATCACCCCGCTACATGGTACTAATGTAACGCACAAACTGAAATGCACCAAACACGAATCAAGACGCGTCCTAAAAAGAGAGGACCACGAAATGCGATGATGTGTGCGATTATAAGAAACTTTGACCCTTTCTGGTGTTTGTAGGTGAATACATCTCCGATGTGGAGTTGATGTTCTTCAACTGTCTCCAGTATAATCAACGTCACACTAATGAGGCAAAGGCTGGACATCGCTTGCAGCAGTTCTTCCACTCAGAGCTCGGCCGACTTGGCCTATTAGAATGTGGCGCCACCCCTCCTGCCAAACGCTCCCGACAGTGACCTCACGTTGACCTCACTACTGTTCATCTGCTGCTGATGTTGGACTTTGTTCTGCCAGCGTTATCGCATTGATCCATCCTCACAAACGTTTGTTTTCTCTGAACACATTTCAGACTAAACCCCTTAAAGAAAATGTGTTTAGTGTGAGAAAACACAAAGCTAGAGGGAAGCGATTTGTTAGTTAATGAAGTAAATGTTCAGATAAATGTTCTTTCTCTAGCCTCAGGGGTTTGTAGTTTTTGTTTGGTTCATGTTTTTTCTACTAAAACTGTTGTTGATGTCTTCACTGGTTTTTATTTCGCTGAATTCCTGCTTCCTAGAGCGTGCGTGCGTGCGTGCGTGCGTGTGTGTGTGTGTGTGTGTGTGTGTGTGTGTGTGTTTTCTGGATGGATTAGCTGTAGACACTACACTGGACCTGCTGCAGCCCTCCCCACTCCCTTTGATTTCCCTTTTGTATTTATTTTGTAGAAGCCTGTTTTTATTTATGATTGCTAGCTTTGTGTTAAAATAAATGTTTTCTAAATAGCCACTGCCCAGTTTCTGTAAGTCGGTTTCCTTTTTGCTTTTGGCTTTCCATGAGCTGTATAAGATGTGTTTTGCTGGAGCGGGTTGTGATGGTTCCTTACACATCTATGAAAAAGTAAACCATGGTAACAGATTGTTTTCTTAACCAGGTACAAACTAAAAGTGTGGATTTCAACAACTATCAAAACTTTAAGAAGAAAATATATTTTCTATAGCGCCTCTCAAGATAAAAATCACGAGGCGCCTCACAAAAACAAAAAATGTAAAATATAAAAATAATTTAGAAAATGATTAAAAATATATTTAAAATTAGCAAAAAATAGACAGTTGTGGTTAAAAATGTAAAGAAAGAGAGCGAGTGAAAAGGAAGGGGGGAATAGGTAGGGAGAGCAGAACAAGGAGAGGGTGATGAGGGTCGCACCAAAACCAGCTTGAACAGGTGAGTTTAAAGGAGACCACTGAGTCCACTGATCTCAGGCTCAGGGGGAGAGAGGTCCAGAGTCTGGGGGCCACAGCAGCAAATGATCTGTCACCTTTGGTCTTTAGCCTGGTGCTGCACAACCAGTAGGCTTTGATCACTGGACCTCAGGGACCTGCTGGGGGTGTAGGGACTAAGAAGATCACCAATGTAAGATGGTGCTTGTCCATGTAAGGCCCTATAGACCAGAACCAGGATCTTGAAATGAACCCTGAAGTTAACTGGCAGCCAGTGAAGCTGGAGGAGGAGCAGAATTTTTATTCCAGATAAATGTATTTTATTACCTTCTCAGTGGTAGTGTCCACCTGAGACAATGCTAATTGTGATGTCATATGGGAACTAACTGCTGCATGGTGGTGCAGTTGTTAGCACTGTTGCCTCGCAGCACGAAGGTTGCAGGTTCGAAACTTGGCTGCGGCCTTTCTGCGTGGAGTTGCGTGTTCTCCCCATGCATGCGTGGGTTTCCTCCGGGTACTCCAGTTTCCCCCACAGATCACAACATGCCCTATAGGTTATAAATTGTAAGTCGCTTTGGATAAAAGCGTCTGCCAAATAAACATAAAACTACTTGTTTTAGGCATGTCATTTTCTACTGAAGTTCTCCATTTCTACTTGAGGTTGGGTTAACTAAGTTATTGGTCAGGCTGAGTCAATTCTGACGGGGGGGCTGTCAAGAGAGCTGCTGCTGCTGTCCATTGTTCTGATTTTGCTACTTCAATCGTTTCTCAATTTCTCTACTTCTAAAGATAGCTGTCCATCCAGTTTGCATTAAGATCAGGTAAATGAAAGAAGTATGGCATTCCAGAAATCCTGGCTCGTTAAACGCAGCTGTTTGTGTGCAATGGTTGCTCAGCCATTGGAGTGTTAGAGGCAGTAGAGAAAAACATGGCAGCACAAAAGGATGCAAAACAGTGAGGTTTGCGTTATATGTTAACTTTTAAATTTTAAGTTGTAAATTGTGCCATTTTTAGAACAGCTCTGCAGTCGTCTCATAGGGTTCCTGGGGGAACCCTGGGCCCCCAGGCACCGTTTGTGACCCCTGAGCCAGAGCAACCCTGCATCTGGGTCTTCCTTTAGGTCTCCTGGTTGGATGAGCCCAGAAAACCTCACCAGAGCAAGAGGACCTGGCATTTTTCTGGCTTCCGTGTTTACAATTTTTTTAATTCTCATTCTTTTTTTGTCATTTTCCCTCTTTTTGATCTTTTTAAAAAATGTATCGTTCCTTATTAAGCTCCTCCAGATTTTTTATAGAGAGACGCTTGTTCATCAGATGCCCGAGCCACCTCAATGTGCTACTGTGTGGAGGAGCAATGGCTCTACTCTGAGCCCCTCCCAGATGACCAAGATCACCATATTTCTTAGGGAGTGCCTAGCCATTCTGCGGAGAAAACTCATTATGGTCGCTTTGGTCAAAATGAGAAACAAAATTTAAAAAAAAATTGGCAAGTTACAAATACTTTCATTTTTGCAGACATTCTGAGGTTGATATTGTATATGGATCTGATAAAAATATGTCAAAAGCAGTTTCTTATGCATAGTTATATATATATATATATATATATATATATATATATATATTTATGAAACTTTGCAAGACAATCAGATTTAAAAGAAATATGGTGAGGAGTATTTAACCTTGAAATTGATTATTCCCAACAAATTCTCAAAACAGTACAAAATACAGTTTGATATTAGTGGAGATCCGTCTTTCCAGAGGTTCTGAGCAGGTTCATTTCCTCAGTTTGGATAAAGTTTAAAGAAGGAAGGAAATATTTTCACGCTTTATTTTAGAAAGAAAGGTCTCCTTGGAAAACGTATGACTTGATTTAAAGAAAACTTCATTGACTTTATTTTGGTGAGAAGGAATCTGCGAGTAAGAAATCATATTTAAATTTTCTGCTCAAATATTCCAAAGAGGACAATAGAAATCTGGGAAATCTGTCCTAAATCCTACCCCTGACCCCGGCCTCTGTTACCCAATCAGGGAAATCAGATGGTCATTAGGCTCCGCCCCCCGCTGCATGGCTCCGTCTCCTCTTCCTCCTCCTTCGACGCCCCCCACCCCCCTCCTCTTCCTCCTCTGGTCGGCCCAGCTATCTTTCACCCCATATAGACCCCGTTCTGGAAGCGACGCAGTGCGGACAAACCGACTAATAAAATGGTAAGAACCGCCCCGCTGGTTGGATACAGGCTTGCTGAACCCGGTTCCGTCGCTAAGTTTGTTCTGCGGGTTTCGGGTGAATGTAACGGGACTCATTCGGTGGGTAGCATCTTAGCTAGCATGGCGACCGTTCTGACCACAAAATTTTAGCCTTAATTCGGTGCTCGGACACGTGGAAGCAGTTTCAGTAACGGGACTTTGTCCCACGTCTATACAAAAAACAAAATCTGCGACGCTTTAAAAAACTGTTTGAGTTCGGAACCAGCCTGACCCGTACCGAGACGGACCGGTGTGGCCCTACCCTCCGGCAGTGTGGCTCGGGGCGGCCATCTTATCACTGTGGTCTTGCTTGACCGTCGAACCCGGCCTGCTCGTATCCCGTAGGACCAAGGGGTGGTTTTAGCTCTCCGGGTTGTTGGGTCGAAGACGGCGCGTGCCTTTTGAATGGGTACAGTGGGCTAGCTGAGTACCGAGGAACTGCTGACTCAGAAGATTCATCTGGAACCGGTTCGGTTAATGATGTTCTGATGAAATCTCATTTATCTGTATAGCTTCTTTATTCAGTCCCGGTCCAGTGAAGATCCATTATGGGGGGTCTGAACTCATGCTGTACGGCCTTTAGACCAGAATCCAGCGATCCAAACCAAGTCTACTGGTTCGGCCCGAACAGGGTGCTGTGTCTTGCCAAAGCACTCTTAAACCCTCGTCCATTTCTCTACCCTGAGCGACTGTTCCTCACACTCTTACATGGTGGATTATTAAAGGTGGAGTTCACTGAAAAGCTATTTTTGATTATTTCCGATAATAATCGGTCGCTCAGAGTTCAACATGCAGGTTGAACATGAAAATAGTCTCCTACACCTATCTGCTTCATTAGCTTCTCGTGGAAACTAGACGATGCAACTCTAGGATTAGAAAAGCCTGACAGATCTACGTCACCCTATCACTTAACGTTCATGGACTCACCATCTTGACTCATGAAGGGGAAAGCTTTTGTTGGTTTAGCTTCCAGAAAACAGAGCACGACTAGTAGAAGCTAACAGTTAGCATTAGCACCTCCGTCGCATGGCAGAACTCCTCCAGGCTTGTGTTTTTTGTGGAGATAAAACAATGTTGCAGAGCAAACTGAGTCAGCGATAGAATCTCATTGCTGTTATCCAATCAGAGGAGAGATGTCAAAAAATCAGGAAATAAGGTGCCAAATTCTGTTGTCTGTAGCCCAGTCCCAATACTCACACTTCCACATTTGTGCCCCTCAATTCCGCGATCCCAGCCAGGGGTGCAAGTATGTCACGATTCTCAAATGCAGAAATAGATCACGCCCATTTTGCACCCTTGATCCACACTTCGCCCATGGGTATTACTCACAATCCATTGCTGCAAGAGAAAACGCCCAAGTGCCTTTTCTGAAAATATGTATTTCCAAATGAAAGTAGTTCAATGATCCTCTGAATGTTTTAGACAAAGCAGCAATGAATGTAAATTTTTTTGAGTAATTTTTTGGTTGTTTGAAAGTTGTTAATAAAGGTTTTTTTTTTAAAAGTAGCATAGCGACCAGCACCCAGGCATGCATTGCGGTTGATGACGCAATGCTTCCTGTCCCAAATCGGCACACTATTAGCACACTTGTGTACCGCACACTTGTAGTCTTACCCCCAAATTCCACTAGCTCCGCTCCGACACGAACGCCGGAGCAAAATCGGTCCCGTTGTAGTCAATCAGAGCAATTCCACTACTGCGGCCGTGCTCCGGCAGTGCGCCGCCCTCTGTTCCGGCGTCCGGCAAAAATAGAATCGATCCTATTTTTGCCGGACGCCGGAGCACCTCCGCAGTAAATGGACAGAAATCACAACCGCCCAACAGGAAAGGGAGCAAGCACAACTTCCGTTTTTCACAATAAATCGATAAACAAAAGGCGTTTTTTGTTTCATATGCACAGGTTTAACAACTTTTAACAACTATCAATGGCGGCTGAAGTTTAAATGCACAAAAGTAAGCCATGAATACAGTTTCCACTATCAAAGTAGACACCCTTTGTTGATGATTCAAACACTGCTGATCTCTCAACACAAATGATGGGCAGATTAAACAGTTCATTTCGATGCTTCTCCCACACAACGGGTGTTTGGATCTAACTTCCGCGTTTATTGCTCGGACTGTATCGCAAGATCTCAAAAATCCCGCGCATGCTTGTTTGCCCACCTCAGGTCTCCGCACCGGAGCAGAGCCGTTGTAGAGCGGGTAGCAGTAAAAATTGAGTTTGGAAGCGAGCGGCTGCGGAAGGCGGGGGCGGAGCGGAGGTAGTGGAATTTGGGGGTTACTGTGCACTTCCTCCAAGTGCACATCACAGAAGAACATAGGGCGCAGAGCGAGTATTGGGATTGGGGCTGTAGCTCAGCTCTGATGTGGCAATCTTCACCGGTGTTTTTTGCTGCCTGAGTACAACTTAAAGGCATGTGTTCCTGCTAGAGACCTCTGCATGTATTGCTTAAACGAGTGTCCCACACCTTTAAAGAGAGTGTGTAGTTTTTACCGTTAATCTCTGGAAACTTACATCGAAATGTTGTTGAAAATGAATTAAATGATGTCCGGTTGTTGGAAAAATATTAGCAGCTTTGTAACTTATAACTAGGGATGCACCAAAATGAAAAATCTTGGCCGAAAACAGAAACTCTAGTGCTGCCACACCACAGTTAGTCGACGCGTCACAATGACGTCAACAAACAAAATAGTCGACTATAAATGTAATGGTCAATGCGTCGTTTATTCCATGAGCATTTTTTAAATCTCGCCTGCTGCAGCGCCTTCTGCCTTTCTCTTTGAGGCACATGTGCAGCAGTGGCCAACCAGGTTAGAATCATAAAGCGTGTATTTGTAAAGTAAGACTCTTTAAAAGCCTGTCAAAAGTTACATTTTCCTGTAGTTTGATGGACTTAAAGGGGCAAACTTTTGTTTTCAGGAAGTTCTTCCAACAAATATGACATCAGGTCAGCCTGACTGAAACTTGGGTTGTACGTAGTTGTCAAACTACTGTGTGACATTTGTTCTCAGCATTTGACCAATTTCCCTGGTAAGCAGTAAGCTGCAGACACGGCCGCGCTCGGGAATGTTTTTGGGGCTGTCAGCATAAAAACTATTCTGGGATTAAAACTGAAGGAATGATTTCTGTTCCATGCTAACAGATGACTGTCTGGTCACTTTGTAGGCATCAGGTGTCACAGTGAATGATGAAGTCATCAGGGTGTTTAACGACATGAAGGTGAGAAAGTCTTCAACCCAGGACGAGGTGAAGAAGAGGAAGAAGGCTGTGCTGTTCTGTCTGAGCGAGGACAGAAAGAAGATCATTGTGGAGGAGGGAAAGCAGATCCTTGTGGGAGACATTGGAGAGACTGTGGATGACCCTTACGCCTGCTTTGTCAAGCTCCTCCCCCTCAATGACTGTAGATATGGCCTTTATGATGCCACCTACGAAACCAAGGAGTCCAAGAAAGAGGACCTGGTCTTCATCTTCTGGTACAGTTCTATATTTGGGAGAGCGGGGTCTAGCTGGGTCTCTGTAGTTCATCTACCAAGTAGTTCGGTGTTGCTCTGACAGTCGCCCTTTTGGTCTCATGGTGGATGGGTATAAAATTAGATCTGAAAGATGCATATTTGAAATGGCAAATGGACTATATTTATAGAATGCTTATTTGGTTATCCAGACCATTTTACATCAGGACACACGTGCACCCTCCTGGGGGTGGGGATCTGCTGTAAGGGGTTCAGTTTCTTGCCCTGGGACACTTGGGCATGTGGTGGGGAAGCCAGGATCAAACCACCTGATCAGTCGATGGTGAAATTAGAGCATTTACATAACTGGGGGTGTGAGAAGCATTAGCAGAGTTTCCACTATAGTTGTTCTGAGAAAGTCCTCCAGTGACCAGGAGATACGATGGTTTGGTCCTCTCGGCTGATGTGTCTCCATAAAAATTCAGCCCCTTCAGGACTTTGCTAAATATCACCACTGCTTAGACAGGGAGTGATGTCACTGATCAATGTCAACAAAGTTTTTTTCTGGTGTCATAATTTAATGCATTCGGGACTGGCAGCCTATTTTAAAGCACCGTTGAGTCAATATTGTTTTTTATTCCTTCTGTTCTGCTTTGACCAGAACTTCTGCAGAATTACTCTGTTTGGGTTCGGTCTCGGGTTAGAACTCTGGCGCTCAGCCCTGCAACACCACATAAAGGCGAACTAATGTTTCCTACTCGATAAATGTGGAGGACACGTCCCACTCTGACAAATTTAGTTGCGATGCAGGTGCTGTGGTTAAAAAAAAACTGCATTACATTAAAATCGTTTATGGCGTGCTTCTTCTACAATGCAGAATTGTTTGTGTCCACATCTCGATGCAGCGATTATTTGATTATTTTCCTCTGCTCTAATTCATTCCACCAAGCTTGGTAGTAACATTGCTGCAACGCCTGACTTGTAAATGCATATTAACGCCCTGGTGCAACAGAGAAAGGTGCCATGATCATGTGGAGAGTTGCTGCCGAGATCCTCCTGTTAACTAGATTGAAAAGGAAAGTAAACACGAGCCTGTAGGTTTTGCTGTTTTGATAACAGAACCAGCCGAGATGATCAACTGGAGCGATGCAGAGCTAAGGAAGTGTCTTTCTGTTAGAGCTGGAGATCAGATCATCTGACAGCTCACAGGGATTGTGTAGCACCTTTTATGAGCGGCTTGTCAAAAAATCGTAAGTAGCTTCAGTCTCAATAAAAAGCAAGTTATATTCAAGTTAAAGGGAAGTCTGACAGCGCAGAAACCACCCCCATACCCCCTTTTTACCGCCAATGTGTAGTCTTTTGTTAAAAGGCCATCATTGCATCACATTACCGCCACAGTTTGACCACTTACAAACGACCTAAGGCTCCCAGATACTGGCATAGCTTAGCGGCTAACGGGCATTGTGTTATAAAAGAAACTAGTCTCCAAAATCAACACTGCTCCTGGCCGCTGTTTACTAATTTAAGGAAAATACTTCTCCACATGACTTTTGCCCACATGCTCAGAGACATCCGTGTTCCTGAGAAGGCTGTTAGAACAATACCTGTTCATGTGGGGGTGGGCCGACGCTACCAGTACCAAATTACTGAAGTTCTAACCGTGGAAGCGGGATGGGTACCAAACTGCTGTGTGTCCATAAGAAAACCTCTAATCCAGGCCTATTCCATTCCGGGCCTGGAGGGCCGATATCCAGCACGTTTTAGTTTTAACCCTGCTTTAACACACCTTATTTGAATCAGCAGGTGATTAACAGGCTTCCGCAGAGCCTGATGAGCTGCTGCACAGGTGATTCAACCACTGAATCTTGTGTGTTGGAGCACAGAAACC